GAGCAAGCAGGGTTTCGAAGAGGATTAGTACGGTGGACCACATCCACACGGTAACACGGCACATTGAAGTATCACGGGAGTACAAGAGACCGCACTGTCTCACTTTCATCGATTTACAGAACGCCTTTGATTCAGATGAGATGGAAGCAGTCTGGGAAGCCCTTGATAGTGAAGGAGTCTCTACTCAGTACATACAGATTCTTCGTGAGTTGTATAAAAATTTCACAGCGAAGATATCAACATTCTACAACTATATTAACATTGACGTCAATGAAAGAGTTAGGCAAGGCGATACCATCTCGCCAAAATTATTTACGGCTCCAAAGCGTCATGTGAACGTTGGAATGGGATAATATGGAAGTGAAAATTGACGTTCGGCAGTTACACCATCTTCGCTTTGCTGATGACATCGTCCTTATAACTCTAAACATTATCCAAGCGGAACGTATGCTTGACGATTTCGATAAAGCCTGTGAAAAGATTGATATTCGATTAAATCTCACAAAAACGATGTTCATGAAGAACGGATTGCTTTCGCATGCCCCATTCACGCTCAACGGAACGAATGTCTCTGAATGCTCCAGTTATATCTACCTAGGTTGGAAAATCAATATAATGAACAACCTAGCTCCAGAGCTGAGCAGAAGAAAACGAGCGGCTTGGGGAGCTTTCAAGTGCATCGAGGAGAGTAGTGGAGAGAACAAAGAACACCCGACTCCGTGCCCACCTTTTCGACTCGACGGTACTACCCTAACGTATGCGTCAGAAACCTGGTCGCTGCGTAAGCGGAATGAAAGGTCACTCAGCGTTATCGAACGAGCATTCGAAAGGACGATGCTAGGAATATCCCGTTCCGCACAAATAAGGGATGGGATCCGAAGCTCCGATCTGCGTTAACGATCAAAAATCAAAGACGCCGTTCTGTACGCCAAACAGTCGAAGATAAAGTGGGTCGGACACGTAATGCGTATAAATGACAATCGATGGACAAGAGCCGTTAGTGACTGGATTTCTCGTGATGTCTAACGTACTGCAGGAGGACCACCGACCTGATGGCCAGAGTTCTTCACAAAGAGCCTTGAAGAAAGATATGATGCTCGAGAAATCCGTAGAGCGAGCAGAACCCAGTGGACTATTCTTACACGCGACAGGGAAAAATGAAAGATTTACTGGCGCCCGCTCGAGTCACTCGACGATCAACGGGACTGCAGGTGATACCATATCAGCCACTATCATTATCAACATTTTATCCATTACCTCCATCGATTCCATCTCTTTTGGTGCTGAGAGCTTTGCTCTTCTTAATGTGTCTAATCGTTAATAACTCAAAAGACCAACTTTCTATAAGTCTCGGGATAACTAGTTGATATATTTATTTATATGATCTTATAAACTGATCTTCTTCATCTGATGCGAGGGTGGTAAAGGTCCTCGTTGTCGTTGTTGTTGTTGTTGTTGTTGTTGTTGCTGTTGTTCTTGTTGGTCGTTGGCTGACGTTTCGGTGATCTCGCTTTCCTCAGAACGGTGATGTTAGGAGTTAGTCTAACTGGACGTGGTCCTATACCAACCTCGCATCAGCTAAAGAAGATCAGTTTATAAGATCAAATTTTAATAAAGATGCCTAACCTTCACTCGTTCTTAATTTCCATATCAAACCGAAATGAAAATCACAAATAATAGAGTCTCAGACAAAAATCTGGAAAAATAAATAGAACTTAATATTTCTTTGAGGACTGTCTAGTGTATGAACTTCGATAAGTTCAGTAGGTTTAATAGCTCTACATTATTGGTGAACTTTATCGATAAGAAGTTGTATCCAGAAAAAGCAGCCATAGGCTTCGTGCACGTGAAGCGTAATGCTTACCAACTTCCTGTAATACACCTCTGGCAGCGCAGTCGAGTGAACTCCGCACTGAAATAGCCATGCCTTTCATTCATGTGGCCTTCGCAAAATGATACCAGACTTTTTTGTGAAAGGCTCTACGAGGTGAAGCCAGTGGTGAAGACTTAGGAATGCACTAGCAGGGCTATACCGGTGTTCCAGAGAGAATCACACTCAAACAGCATTTAAAGACATCAATAACGAAGAAGGAATCATCAAATAGTGGTTAAATTCACGCGCAAATCCGAGGACATTCATGCGTGCCACGCGAATGGCAATGAACCGAACAAAATCAGAACTGGGATCGGCAATATATGTGAAGGTGAACTGTATAAGTACAAATACGACAAGCTAACAGTTTCCGTAATCGAAGAAAATTAAAAGCAAGCTAGATTTTCGCTCTTGTTGGAATCCGATTGTCGTTATTTACCAGGCCAGCCACTGTTTCAATGCTGTTGGAGTGGTCATGTGATTAGTAAACAGGCATTGAAGATCTTCGCCGAAAAGCAGTCCATTCTAGAAACCTCTGTCAACATCATGAATGGGAAGATATAGCAGTGGCCAGGTATATCCTGTGAATACTTTCGCTCAGGAGTCATGAAATATTCAAGTATAACACCTCGATCGTATACCAATAAATTCTGTTTGTTAGCATTGCGTATCAGAACTACTCAGTTGGCCGCACTCTGTTGGCGCCTACGACTAGCATCACATTTTTGGTATGATTCGTTTGCTTGATATTTTTGAGGAAAAAAAAACCTATAATTTCCACTGTAGACTTTGTCGTGCAATAGATTTACTCTCAATTGGGTAGAAATGTTGGGCTTCTTCATAGTTTGGATGACATCGGAATAGGGATGATCTTTCAGCTATCTTGCGTGGTTCATCGCACAAGAGCACCTCTAGCAACCCTAGAGCGGTAAACCGTTGAGGATTAGCCCAACAATAGAACAAGAAAATCTTTAAAAATTCAAAACAAACTGCAAATGGTTAATTCTACCACCTACCAACTTTATCTACGTAAAATTCGGAATGTAAAGAAAAGCCACACAGAAACCGAGTCATGGAACATTGTTTTCGCATGATAAATACCTTTATCATCCGTATCACTTGTAATCTCATTGATCGCCGAGTGATTCGAGCGGGCGCCAGTAAATCTTCCAAATTTCCCTGTCGCGTGCAAGAGTAGCCCAGTGGGTTCTGCTCGCTCTAGGGACTCGTCGAGCATCATATCTTTCTTCAAGGCTCTTTGTGAAGAACTCTGGCCATCGGGTCGGTGGTCTTCCTGCAGTACGTTAGACATCACGAGGAATCCAGTCACTAACGGCTCTTGTCCATCGGCTGTCATTCATACGCACTACGTGTCCGGCTGTGTTCATACGCATGATAAATACGCGTTTGAAAAACTCCAATGCTAACGGTTTTGAACCGAAATGAGAGCTCTTTAAAGGAAAGTGTTCATAGTTTTTGCTTTAACAAATCGATTATTTGAAAAAATACTGATAAAATAAATTCTTGACTTAACTTGTTTGCTTTTAAATATACTGGAATTCTAGCCTCAGCTCAAACAAATGGAAGGACTACATTGAAATTGTTTTGAAAAGACTCTTCGATGGTAACGGCCATTTTGAATTTCTTTTAAAAACTCTTTTAAAAAGCAAGGCTCTAAATAAAGATATAGATATGATTACAATTTAAATGAAACCGATAAACTAATGTGTACAACATCATTAATTCACGGTTGCATTCAAATGCACTGCGTGCCCAGCCCGCCTCATGTTTGCGAGTTTGGCATATAGAACTGTGTTTCTGATTTTTGGTTGACGACGTAGTCAGAGCTTTGGATCCCTTCCCTCACTAGCGTGATACGGTATCTTCACGAAATCTTTTTGACTGCCCGTTCAATAAAGCTAGGTGATCTTTCATCCTGAGAGATCACGTTTCTCATGCGTGCGCTAAGGAAGGGACTATCGTGGAGTCGAAAAGGTGGGCTCGGGGTCAGGTGTTCCTTGTTCTCTTCACTACACCCTCGATACTGTTGGAAGCCCCCCAAGTCGCTCGTTCTATCCTGCTCAACTTTGGAGTTAAGCCGTTCATCAAGTAGATTTCCTGGTCAGACGTAAAAGTTGGAAGACCTCAGTGGACGTTATATGCGAGGAAACGAATCGCATCTGAGAAGCGCCGGGATCTGCACAGTAGAAGTGAAAACGGTTCAGACCTGATGTTGCTCGATTCCTCATCGACGAAATAGCGCGTCGAATTTCGGAAGGCAGAAGCGGTGGGACACCATACTCAGCCTTCTCTATTTCGTATGAAGGCAGGGGGACGTGGCTATTGAAGAAATTCCAATAGTAAATGATTTTCTCCACTTCCGGAAGCTGCAATTCTTCCGTCTGGACCACGAAATATAATCATCCTGGTCCTGTAATTGGACATGTAGTAAGATAAAGATTCTAATAAGATAAGGTTTATTTACTGCTATTTTTATTACTGTCATTTACTATTCCATTAGTGCTATGTGAAATACAACCACAAGGATGCTAAGATATCGTATTAAATATGCCTTGATTCGCTTTTCTCTCGAGTATGTTTTTACTCTAACGCTACTACCAGCAATCACCCGTCAGAATGAATGAAGGGGAAAAGCAGAGACCTCGGTTGGTGTTGTGAATAGCACACTTGCTCCCAGAAACGTAATAGCAGGTTCGGAGCCCATCTGAGTTTCCGAGTTTGCTCATTTATTAACATCTTTGTAGTTGCCTCTGTTAAGTTTCAAAAATTATCGCACCAAACCAAACAGATCCAAATTTCCTTTCGTTGGCACATGCCTAGACTACATCAGAACATTAGATACAGTGTTTTTCAAACAACATAGATATGTCTTTATTCTACTGTAGCATTTGAAATATGAGCATTTAGGTTCGGTCTCTTTTTGACACAATAAAATATCCGCTTACACGCGGAAGGTCTCTGATATGAGGCTAAACTTTTTCTGTAGATACATCCAAATACTTTGACAAGATGGAAAAACTGTACAAACCTAGGCACAAATGAAAGGCTAGAATTTCTTTCAGAATATACAGAAGCTGAAATTCCAAGAAGTTCTCAAAGAATGAAGTCATCCTTCAAGATGTTCAACTTCATCTAATACGCGGTCGATGTGCTCAACAGCCGACAGACCCATTCCGGTCCACACTTCGTCGCTGAGAATCTTAAGCACAGCAAAAAATGTCTTAAATGATGGTTCACTGGTTTAATGATCTGTCTGTTACTAAAGAGATAACGCCTAAGGATTGCGCAAAATACACAATCTTCATTTCGATGTACTTCTTAAACGTTAAAACAAAGGAAACTTCTAGAAAAAAGCAATCATGAGCAGGCTAGATGCTTCTGCTCAGAGAAGTATGAATTCCGTAATTTTCCTTATCAAGCATGACAGCAACTGATAGGTGCGTAAAACCGAGGGGCGATTCTAACAATATGACCATGTGTATGTCACTTTGACTTAGAACTTCGAATGAAAAGATCAGACGGAATTCTGATTTACTTTCAATAAATAAGTTTTGTAAAGGAAGAGATGAAGAACTGCAAGGACAAAAAAGGAAGGATAAAGGAGCCCTGCCGGGTGAGTATGCCTCATTCTTGCGGCGTTCACTGGAGAAGATCCACCTCAGTTCAACTACGAAGACGCCATATCAAGATCACGAACGACTCTGAACCAGCAACTCGGATCATCAGCTCTGATGAAGACGAAGATGTCGAAACGTTAGCGGCAATAAGCCTTGTGTTTACTAAGTGCAAATCAAATTATACACAAGTATAGCCTATCGTTCTCCCCTTGGATAACTCAAACCAATTCTGGATCCGTTTTTATGACATTTTCATAAAAATATTGCAAACGAACAAGGATCTATTATTGATGCCTTTACACGAGCTCAGTCCAGTTCTCTTTCAAAAACCGCCGAGTGGTTCAGCTTCATGTCAATATCCGTATAAAATAGATGATGAGCTAGGTCAAAGCTGAAAAGTGGCGAGACGACGACAGTAGGACCTCGCGAAGGAACTTCGAAAGTGGCGTTAAAAAAGATAAAAATAATTCTTTGGAAGGGAATAAATCAAATGAGTTTCGCTCAAACTCTGCAAGTCTGTGATCCACAAAAAGTGAAGATTACCTTTACGTGGTCAATAAGGTCGTCCTCCTCGGTTTGAACCGAGCTATCCCTAAGTGAGTTCTGATCATCCTCAATAAACCTCATTCGTCTACGAATCACCTCGGCGCCTTCATTCCTAAATAATTCTCTTCCTACTTTATTGATCATCTACTTAACTCAACACGACATTATTTCACTATTATCACTATTATATAAGACATAATTGTAAAAAAACAGTCGCTTCTATTTCGAAATGTTGTTAAAATAGAAGAGCAAAACGGAGACACCGAAGTTGTATGCAACAAAAGAAAAAATAAAAGTAAACAAATAAAGTAAACATTAATAATTTGCAGGATTTGCCAATATTAATTTTAAGCAAGGCGCGCGCGTGGCGCAGTGGTCGCAGGCGCCCTGCAACACAGACGTTGGATCGGTCCCCATTGCCATGGCCCACCAAACCTTCGAGTCCCCGGGGTCGGTAGATTGGTAGCAGACTTGTCTGGGAGGATATTAGCACTGGCTCGATACATCGGTAGACCACCGAGAGTCATTGTGAAAGCCAGATATGCATTCAATCACCCCCAACGATGCTTAATGAAGTCTAATGCACGGCGCGCGTCCCTCAGGGATTGATCAACACCGAGAGCTTTATCCTTTAACCTTTAATTTTAGTCAGGTGAATTTAGTTCAGTAGTCAGAGAAGTTCTGTAATTCGGACGTAGTCGTTGGTTCGACCGAAAACCCCGAGCTAGGCAAGGGCAATACCTTCCGATGAAACATATGCTTGTCTCGTAGGATAGCATTAATGAGTTGATACAGTGATATGCCACTGGATGCCACTTTGAAGAACAACTATGCATTCATTCATTTCTATAACGCTACGAATGGAACCGAATGAGTGACGCATCTCCAACGGATTGATGAACGCAGAACACTGAATCCATTTCTAATGTAGGTCCTCTAATAAGTTCATTGTTTAGAAAAAAAAAGTTACATAAAGTAAACTAAACAAAACCACTCACGTCGCATCACTACAAAGCTCACCCGTCGAGGAGTAACCAGAACTCGACTCTTTAGGCGAGAACGTTTTCATAAAAACAGGCGATAATGAAATTGACTGCGATATTCCTACAGAATTCCCAAAAGAGGTTTCCGCTATGCAGTCGGACATTTGTGACATGGACCTCGATCTTTTTTGTCCTAAAAACAATAAACTACGACTCATACAAGTTATTTTGGGAATTACAACCACAATGATGCTGAGATAAAAGCAAAACCCGGAGCTCCAGGTGAGCGTCGAACCCACGATTACCTTTTCCGAGAGTGTTATCCACCACACCAACGGAGGACCTTGCTCTACTTTTCTCTCAGATGTTTTTAACTATAATCTAATGGTGCTATCAGCGCTCACCGGGCTTTTGTGAATTTTGAAATCTAATACTAGAGGAATTTTACTAATGGATATTATTTGAGCACATAAAACTGCGTTCTCTTCTCCCTTATTCGGATATCGCTCTTAAAATTGGAAGTGTATTTTCCGCATTAATGCATTGTTCTCAATGCGTATTTCGTATCATGTATTAAAAACAATTTAAAGGAAGAACAGATTAGTCCTTGCATTGAGCCGTGTTACAGTGTTACCCTGAGCAGAGAGGTTCCTGCTGATAAATTATTGATAATAAATGTTCAACAAGCGACAGTTTAGCGATAACTACAGTGCCTAAGAACTTGAGGAGTTTATAAACTCATGGGATATCCTTTGTGCCTAGGATATGCCAGGTTGATTTGAGCATCCCAGATCAATCCCGTTGACGGGTGATGCCGATGGGAATGATCGATAGAAAACTAAGTGAGAGACAGGCGAAGCGAAGGACCATCATGGTGTGGTGGTGAACGCATTTGCCCCCGGAAAGGGTAATAACGCGTTCGTCGTTCCCCACCGCAGACATCTGCGGTCCGGAGTTTTGCAAATATCTCGGCATCGTTGTGGTCATATTCAATATTTTTAAGATTCTTAAAGCAGATAGCATTGTCTCAACAAAATCTCGTTTGTTCCTAGGCTTCTGTGTTTAAAACACGAGCCTCGACAAGAAAAGCTGCTAACCAGCCATTAAAAAATGAACATTTCGTAGTAGAATAAGAACACTTCACCTCGTTGGCAAGAAACTGTTGATTTTAATGGGTTTCGTCTAAATTAAAAATGTTCACAATGAGAAAGAAATCTTTGGGCTAAGAGCTGAATTGTTTCCTGGTCCTGGATAATGTGCATTGAAACCAATGCGCTAGTGTTCACGAATGTACTGAAACGGTACCTCTAAATCCAGCAATAAACGCAGCCATTCGTCGATTTCCTTTCATCGAAGCGATTGCTTGTGCACCAAGGCCAGCCGCGTTGAGATCAGATGGATCCGCATTTGACATGAGCTATAAAAGAAATGATAGAAAGAGGACGAAAAAAGAGAGGAAAAATGAGAAGAGGGCCAAATATTAAACTCTACTGCACCAAAGCAGTTAAATTCATAAATTCAAAATTCTGACGAGCTTAATCTTTCCATGCAAGAAATATGGGATAGGTATTTAGACAATTTTCTGGACAAATGAAGGCGCACTGACGCTTGCTAGAAACAAAAGCTTTCAAGCATTAACTGCCACTTAGCTCGAAAAAAGTACACACAGTGCTCTTGAATCTACTGAGGATTTTAAAGCGCTTAAGTCAAGAACTTGAACAAAACTGACGCTTGATGCATAGGTTTTGAACAAGACTAATAGCGTAGGATTTCAAACCAATAATCAATCTTCTCTACCAAGTAGCTAACAGCATCGAAATGTCCGTTAGTAGCGGCAAGGTGAAGAGCGGTATTTCCTCTTCCGTCGCGCAATCTCAACACAGATTGCCTCTTCTTACGGGACCATGGTAATAGGAGAAGACGCAAAATCGGAACGCTGCCACGAACTAAACAGATGATATAAAAGACAAAAGGTAAAGTCAGACACGACCATAAAGGTACTGAGATCCAAAATTTGGAACCTCAGGTGCGCTTCGAACCCGTTTTTACCCTGTCAGGAGCTCATGTCTTATCCAATCCACTGCACCAATCGAAGTTCTCGCTTTGGTTTTCTCTCAGCCAGTTTTTACTTTGACGGTGCTGTCAACAATCATCCGTCGACGAAAATGATCTGGGAGTAGAATGAAGGAGGCGAAGTGTTCAACGTTGGTCAATCCTTAAGGGATGTGCTATGCATTCCGCTCTATTCGCAGCATAATAGAGGTGGTCGAATACAAATTTAGTCTACAAGATGATTTTCGACGACCTATCAACGTAGCAAGTCACTTCTTTTAATTCTTTCAGACAAGACTGGTACCAGTTTTTCAACCTTCCATAAATGAAAGGCTTAGTCTACTTGGAGTGCGGAATCAAATCAAAGAATACGTGTGTATTGTCGGGCGCCTCCAACCACTGCGCTGCATGCGTGACATGAATGTACTGTCCCGAATTTAAACTCTTTGGACTTAAAATACTATGTAAGATTCGAAAATTACACACATGCTGCACAGTGTATTGCATTCGCATTGTCGACTGTTCTCCGGAGAATCATGTAGGAGTCCACACGATTCAGAATCCAACGAACGATCTTGTCATAACCACACAACGATGCGATGTGGAGCAACGACTGACCTGTAAACTGTAGTCGTTCAGATCAACATAGAGAGTCCCAAAAATACAGAATTCGTAATACAGCTATGTATAGTACCCACTTTGCTATTTTTTAATGCATACATGGCTAAGGCCAATTTTACATGCGGACCGGTTGGGGCTTCGCGCTGCGTGCATTGAGAAACTTGTCCAAAAAAGAAGCTTTTTTATAGGCCTTTAAGCGCTTAACTCGGGTTTTTGAAACAACGATAGGCACAAAATCTGAGCAGAATAATCTATCGACTGAACACAAAAGCATTAACAAGTGAACTTAATGCGGTACTGTAAGCCATTAAAAAGGATATACATTAGCAATAAAGCCCACTCCCACTGTCTATCTGTTCATGCGTTGATATCAATTCACAGGTGACTTTAAGTTTATAGAAAATGCGGTTCATTCTTTATAATAAAAAAGTGCTCTGCAATGTCCACCGAGTGCTTCTTGATCAACAATGATTTGCTGATTCTGTGAAGATTCTGTCCCTTCCATTCATGGAGAGATAAAAAGACGTCTGGCTACGAATAACGAACTAACTTAGTCTAAGAAAGTTGAAAATAGAAAAAAAACGAAAAAGACATAGATGATGCAATCAACACCTCTTCGATTCACACATCCAATTGCAGCATGTGCTTTTTCCACAAGAAATTCAAGAGTGCTCAAGCATCCACCTTGTACAGCGTATACCGATGGAGTGCAACCTAGACAGCTCAAGAATGCTGTAACAGTCTTTTTTCATTTTCATTATATCACTTTGAACAATTTCACCCTATCAGAAATAGATAACTCGTATACCCCAGTTTTTGGGCAAATGTGGGGCAGTGGTTGGAGGCGCTCTGCAATACACATGTGGAATCGATACCCGAGGCTATGGCCCACCAAGGCTTCTACCCTTCCGTGGTCCGCAAATTGGTACCAGACTTGTCTGGGAGGATAGCAGCACTGGCTCAATAAATCGGTAGGCCACGTCGAGTCATTGTAAAGGCCAGATATGCATTCAATCACCTTCAAACGATGCTTAGTGAAGTCGAATACATGGCGCATCCCTCAGGGATTGATCAGCGCCAAGAGCTTCATCGTTTATCCTTTGTACCCCAGTTTTACACTCTATAGGAACCACGTTTATTTACTTTATTTTTTATTTCCTTGAAAAAACAGAGATCACATTAACCTAACATTCTTAGTTAAAAGTTAACTATTCAAGAAAAAAGCTACCAAAAGCGTCCCGTGCATCCACTGACTTCGGAAACCACTTTGCTGCAAGTTTGACGAACTCTATGTTCCCTGAAGTGCACCTTTGTAAAAAAAAAAATGATGATCGATAAAAATGCCCAAAACCTCAAAAACCTTCCGGAAAACTCTAGTTTTAGTTTTAAACTTTACTGATAGAGAAGTGTTAGACTTGTGTAGTGATTAAACGTTCTTCGGAAGTGCGTTCTCTGATTGCAAAGAAGACTTCAGAAAAGCTATAGTGTACTGTGAAACAGACGATTTTCCCACTTCTTCCCACCAACTAACAACTATCTTTATTGTCTGATATCTTGTGTCTCATAAAGTTTTCTTTATAAAAAGCCATACAACGGACTTAAAATATTTTGCTCATGTATATTATGCATTATTGGGCACGGTGGCGCAACGATGAGAGATACGGTACAGTAATGCATTAACGGCAGCTGGTTTGACTGTCCGAGTTAGCCAAGTCCTCCGTACTTCCGGAGTCGATAAATTCGTAGCAAACTTGCTTCGGCAGAAAATCGGTAAACTTGATGGATCAGTGGGCTTACACTGGTCATAGTACAGGCCCAATATGGTCTAATACGTATTCTGTCAAGTCAAATGTGTGGTTCATCTCTAACCGACTGTTCAAAACTGAACGCTCTGTCCCTTATCGTCATGCCGTACTAGCAATACAAATTTACACACATACCTTGTGCAGCTGCCACGTGCAATGGAATCATTTGAAAATTGTTCGGTAGCATCGCTAACTTTTTTCCGAATGTCCGAAGAAGCCACAGTGCCATCACATTGTTCCCATGAATTACACTTGCCGTCAAAATAGACGTGCCGTTGATGTCTCTAAAACATTCCTCAGCGACACTTCCCAGTATTATTGCAAAAATCACTCAAAATCACACAACTTCATCATGCCTGAATCGAGTTCCTAAGGAGGGAAATGCTATAGGTCGAAAACGAAAGAATTTCAACACATCCGCTGACAGTACCGGGAAGCTGACAATGAAGACGTGGGAATGTTCCAGTATAGTCTTCCCAAAGTTTCAAAGGAACATCTCGTCGGAAAGCAACGAAGTAGTTAAGTATAAAGTATTCAAGTTCCACACCACTTCTCATGAAAACGGACCATTTAAGTTCTAACTGCTATAATATCACACAGAAGAGGTGTTTAAACTAAGAAACTTAGAGAAACTCGAAACAGTTCATTCATGAGATTAAATTTGAAATAAATGAACAGTCCAAGAAGTTTCTCGACCACTAATGGATGGTAGGGAAACCTTAGCCACACAGCCTGACAGTTATGAGCCGATCACAAACCAGTTACCAGCATGCAATAGAACCTTGCATATTCGTTCTCGCCGGTTTCCCACTATAAAAAGAAGGCTCTTGTCTAAAGCCAAAGTAGGAACAAGAATAGATGTTTGCATGCGATATATCAAATCTGATTAAGTCAGGGAAAAGATCAATATGCATACATTGCATTGACCATGCAAATCGAACTTGTATAAACTCAGAGGAAACCTTGTTAAGGCGGCCTTTAGTGTTTCCTTCAGCTGCCCACAGAGTAAAAGTTCGACGATTTGATGCTCTCCCATGGCAATTGCGATATGTGCAGGAGTCTCACCGAACAGCGAGGTCATCTCACGTAGAACAGGAGCTTTCTGTAGCAGAAGCCTGTAAGTTCATGTTCAATAAAGTACAAGCTCGAATAGTAAATTGAATAGCAGACTAATTATTGTTCTAATAAACAGTTCCTGAAACTTAACCGAACGTTTTCAAACGCAATTTGTTTTTGAGATTGTAAGTTACTTCATTCTAAGACGACTGAATGACTATAGGTAATACTAATGAAACCAGTGAGCAGTTCTAATCCTCTGTAATCGTTCGTTTGGTTTTTAATTCTATAACACGACTTCAAATAACATGCGGCTCCAAGCTCTTCTTGTCATTACTGCCATATATTGAAACCCAATCTCCCAACGGTTTACCGCCTAATCGTGACCAGGAGGTGTTCCTGGGTGTCCGGCTGCGATGTACAGCTGAGGATTCATCACCCTAGCAAGGTCTCCTAAGATGAGAAGAGGTCCAACGTTTCCATCCGGAATCCCAGCTAAGAGTAGACTAATACTAGAAATCACCACCATCTTGGTATGATGGTGAAAAATCTCCCTCTGATACAAAACGATTGCGACTGCTTGGGGTTGTGATGACGACCTGAGAAAGCTTCGGCTAGGCTGACCTCGAAACTCCAAGAAACCAGGATGGCTAGACTAGCAAATCTTCGGAGAATGAAAATTATGCCGAGGCTCGCATAATCAGTGAAAACGAGTCACCCAAGTATCCAAGTACATGGGGACGATTTTAGAATTACGGAATTGTCTTAGTGGGCATCGCCACATTCGTAGCAGATCACTACCATAGACGACGACCGCGCCAAAGAGAAACGAATGGAAATTATGTTGGGATCCCCAGCACCAGTGAAGACTGGTCATCCAAGTATCCAAGTCCAAGGTTGTAAACGAATGTAGCAAGTGGTGCAACATGTTTGGTGATGTCAATATTATGTCGATATTGTTCTGCCATCATTGAAGCATATTACTTAGGTAGTTACTTGGTGTTGAACCGGAGACCATAAGTGGATTGCACTACATCTCTAACTACTGCGCCTTCCGCACACCACAATAACAATAATTAATAGCGGTAGCAACAACAAAAATGACAATAATACTAATGTGACTGGGAATTGGTACTAAATATACTAGAAGCGTTACATATTTTTAAAAAAAAAACTTTAGACTTGAACTACAGACCTGGAAGAGAATCCACCGAATATTATTCAACGGTGGTTTGGAAAAATGCCCATTTATGGTTCACCAAAATAAAAACTGTTATAAATCACTAACCAACAACGTACGTTTCACGTGTATTAGACCTCTTCTGTCTGTTGTCAATCATAACAATACTATTCATCATACCCTACCCAAAATTTTTCGCGACTTATGCGCATTCGCTGTGGCGACGGCAGGTCGCTGGGCAAAGAGTTGAGCAAACATTGCGTGAGCTGCTGAGGAATCTGATCAACTTGCTCGGAACTCAAGTGCGAAAAATTCGGCACTTCCTCATCCACGTTGCTTAACATTGAACAAAACTTCAAGGAAAAGCATAAGGCATAAAGCGTGCAGCGTCGATCTATTCCTCAGGGATGTGCGATGCATTTGACTCCATCTATAGCATCGCAGAGGTAATTAAATTGACACCGATCTACCCATTCCGTAAACTGGGGTTCGAATCATCGAGCGTGGATGCGTATTCCCAGCATCTCTAACTCTACCTCTGCAGCTGCTAAATCCGTGCATAAATACGGAAACCGTCGCTGTAAGGTATGAATGCGTGAAAGCGAACCGAACGCAAAAATTGCTAGGCTATGCAAGATATATGGTGTCGGGTCCGAGGCAAAAATAAAATAGAGATTGCATATTGTGTAAAGTACATAATCCTTTGAAATAATGAACATCAATGAGAACAACTATAAAAAGCGACTTATTACACGAATGGGTGTGAACTTTTCTCGAATGAAGGATAAGAGGTTTCATAAGCCCGGAGTGGGATCGAACCAGTCCCATTCACGCGATGCCCGGCATCACTACCACTGTGCCATCCACCCCCACATCTGCATTTACACATAAATATATGAAATATGTGGAATATAAAACATACATGTGGTAAACATCAGCTCAAATAATATGAAACAAAAGCATAAAAGGTGACATTTGGAAGAAAACCCATTGAGCCATCGCCTCGTCCTTTGTTTTAAACGATTGTGGAGATGAATATTTTAGAAGAAAAATAAAAAAATAGAGTGAAAATAATGCCTTTTGGTTAACATAAATAGAAAAATTTAAGGACTAAAATCTACTGGTTCTCAGCACTACTCGTCACTGTGCAGATGTCAGAAGTCAGCTATTGTCATGTTTTCAGTTAATTAATACGAGCTCGCCACGAATCCACCTACCCTGCACCCGTAACCCAAGAACTACGGTAGGAAATCATTTTCGCTTAGCTACAAAACCACCAATCGTGTAACCGTATCCTAACGATTACGGTATCATTGGGTCTTCACTGAACTACTCATACCGTATGAACTACTCATACCGTACTTGGCAGAATTGTAGTCCCGTTCCCTAATAACTCGGTGCATGACCGTTTCGCCGAGTTCATCTCGGATCAGGATTTGTTCGTTCGATAGACGAGACAAACATATAGAATGTTCCAGACGAGCTGCCCTTACCGCATCTTCGCATTGATGATCAGGTTCGTCGACGACCGGAGGATTGTTTGTTCTGAAAACATACTGAACTTCAGCAAAAAGCAAACAGCGTTATTTAATTACATAAGCATCACCACATCATATACAACTTCTTCATCAAAATCAGTACAGTCTTATCTCAATCATTCATTTGTTTGGACCCTTTTAAAATTGCAAAAATGCCCCAAGGAACATCAGAACATAGAATGTGAGTAAGAAACTAGACAAGGCTCTAAAACTCCCCATCGACCCCATGATTATTTCAAATATGGTTATGACATAAATTAACGTCACCAGTACTTTCGGAATCATAGTGAACAACCATACATATAACCAAACAGGCAGTGATAATTCAAAACTTAACATAGTCCCTTTCTTGAAGAATCATGCATAACACGTTCGGCTTTGAGCAATTATTCATGGATGAGCCATGAATTGGACACCTTTCGTTGCACCATGAAAGCGGATAAATGAATATTCGGCTTACACAGCGACTTTCATGAAACTACCGATGAATCACGTCGGTACTTTTAATTTCTCAGACAAAACTGGTGGCAATTTACAAAACTCAGAGGGAATGAAGGCTTGGTGAGCCAAGAGTGTATGATCAGATGTGCATTGCGGGCCTCCTGTTGTAGTGCCCAGTTTTATGAGAACAAATCGCCTATGTCATCAGTAAGAAGAACTTTGCCCGTGGGTTTAGAAGAGCTTTGTCAGTTTCTATCGTTACCCAAGAGAGAATTCTTCTTCTCTAACGTTTTGGGACACAAATCACCGAACACAAAGACCTCATAGCAATTCAGGTCTACCATATCATTTGTCCTGTGCACTAGAAGTAATCTTCCAAAACATACAAATTAACCTGAAAAGAGCAATCACTGATGAATCAATGGAACTCACCTATCAGACCGCATCTCGTAGTCGGGTAAAGAAGTCAATCATGACTTGCCGCACACTCGACGCCACACTGGTTCCATCAATGTTTGACTACTTCGCTGACAGAACGTTCGTCTAAAAGAACTTACGCGGTCATGCCATTAAAAAAAGCTCTAAAGCTCTCGGCATTGATCAATCCTTTTAGGAATGCGCCATATATTCGACTTCATTAAGTATCGTTGGACCTGACTGAATACATATCTGGTCTTTACGATGACTCGCGGTGGTCTACCGATGTATCGAGCCAGTGCTGCTATCCTCCCAGACAAGTCTGATACCAATTTTCCGACCCCGAAGGGATGGAAGGCTTGGTGGGCCACTAGCGCGGGATCGATTCCACGTGTGTGTGTCGCAGTGGCGCCTCCAACCACTGCGCCACACTCACCCTTCACTCATTCATGCGCCCTTCACACGTCATGCCATTAGTTTCAGAACTTACAAAGGAGTTACTAATATGATCAAATTTCTGTAATATACAATGAATATTTAAGTAGATGGTAACGTGCAAGAAAAGTAAATGTATTAACCATAATGATGCTGAGATATTTGCAAAACTCCGGGCTGCAGTTGCCTGCGGTGGAGAAGGAACACTCTATTACCCTTTCCGGGTGCTAACGCGTTCACCACCACACCATGCACATCTTTCGTTTCGCCTCTCTCAGCTAGTTTTCTCTAAAAAGTTAACATTAACGAATGTATTCCTCGAATCATAACAAAGAGCGCTTGGCCTCTAACAATGCTTGATGAGATCGAATACGTGGCGCATCCCTCAGGGATTGATCAACACCGTGAGCGTTATCCTTTATTATCCGTTATATTCCTTAAGGATACTCCATGTATTTGACTTCATTCGTAGTATAGCAAAGCTGGTTGGTTGAATATCTGGCGTATGCAATGACTAGCAGGGAGCTAGGGATATATTAATTCAGTGCTTATTTCCTCCTATACAAGTCTGGTACCAATTTTTCAACTCAGCGGCGATGAGGGGCTTAGTTTGTCTTACGGATTAGCCAGTAACCATGTATGAATTGCATTGGACTTCCAAATACTGCACTACGCACGCCCCACCGTGCCTATATAGAAGGTAGAGAGAAATTTAAAGTCTACAAGGAATGAAAAGTGAAAACAAACAGTAGCTAAAGTATTACGAACAAAAAAGAAAAGCTAGGCTATACCTATTTTCCTAGTTTTCATCGGAAAGAGACGCAAAATTGCTTAAGAAAACGAGGGGAAGGACTCTGATCTAATCAAACAGGATCCCCGTCTTTGCTTGAGAAGTAGAAAAAGCTTCTATCATGGCACAAACTTCAACATTCCTCAATGTAGTTTCAGATTTAACGTAGAACGTGTTTTTAAGATACAATACAATACGCAGTGATATTTGTAAAACTCCGGACCGCAGATGTTTGCGGTGGGTAACGCACGCGCTATTGTCCTTTCCGGGGGTAACGCGTTCACCACCACACCATGCGGGTCCTTCGTTTCGTCTGTCTCTTAGCTGGTTCTATCGATCTCTGCCACTGCCATCAGCAATCACCCGTCAGCGGGATTGATCTGGGGAGCCCAAATCGGCAATGAACCCAGTTTTGCAAACATCTCAGCATTATAGAAGTTATATTTCGCAAATACCCTGCCATTAAAAAGAATAGGCAGTAAATAAAAAGGTTAAGATTGTGATTATAACTATAGCCTCAGCTTAACTGGGTTCATTGCCGATTTGAGCTCCCCAGATCAATCCCGCCGACGGTTGACTGCTGATGGCAGAGATTGATAGAACTGGCTAAGAGACAGGCGAAACGAAGGATCTGCATGGTGTGGTCCTGCCGTGCAGAGTTTTGCAAATATCTTAGCATCATTGAAGTTGGCAATATACGCTGTCATTAAAAAGAGTAGGCAGTAAATAAAAACGGTTAAGACAATACGCAGTGTTGAAGCCTTTCACAGTGAATATCGTTTCAGTAATAGATATCTGGATCAGAGGGAGATCTGCCACCATGCGACTAGTTTGAAAGCAGGACGCTGGAGGACTTATGCTCAGCAAAGGAGGCCCACCACCTTAAGCTGAAAAAAAGGAAGGGGATAAATCCCCGTTGTAAATCGCGGCCCAACGCCCGGGAACACCTCCCAGCCACAATGAGGCCGTAAACCCTTGGGAGTAATGTGATATACTACTTCATCTTTACTCCTATTTCGATGACCCAACATCACATGCTGTACAAGTTTCAGCAATTCCTTTATTCGGTTCGTTTTCTCGTATCCATTGTCCACCTGATTCCTTGGGTCTTTTCCTTGGACCTTCGATTGCAAGCTAACGATTTGGTCTTCCTATGAATACCATTAAATGGTCGTCATAGTTGAATTTATGTAGAACTTTAGGTTAGCTCTGTGACAGCATCCACGAGTCTACAACACATAGTCACTTGCTAGTCTTATGGATCGGAAGCAGGTTTTCCCAGACAAGTCAAATACCAACTTGTCGACCTCGGACGCATAGGAGTGTCATTCACATATGACATCGAACCAGCGAGCACACGTGTACTATTGCATCTAACCACTGCGCTTCCCGAGATCTTGAATAGTATGAAAGTGGTGGAAGATCTTTCTCAACCTTCAGTGACAACGTAGGACATCTGTAAAAACGTATAGCAATGCAACGTCTTCAACAGAACCAGTAGATAATAATGAAAACTTTATTCGTATATGTTCAACGATTCGGTGGATTTCCATAGCTTAATGATCGTAATATATGAGAAAAAAATAAGGAAAATCAAAAAACTGAGCAGATTTCCATCGGCATTTATTCCTTCGGGAATGAGAACCCATGTGGTCGTTTCAAAGATCGTAGATCTCCTAGGAAAACGGGAAAAAACCTTAACAACGAGAAGCTAGTGTAAACACTGGACATTATAGTCGACAACCAGTAACAATTTAACAAGCATAAACAACAAACAATTGGCATTACTAATGTTCTGCCTCTTTTATTGATTTTTTCATCTTCTCGACCCAAGCTTTACGGTCTTTTCGGAACAAATACATATCACAGCGTAGCATGGCGAATTTCCAGAACTTGGAGTCGTTCTGAACATAGAAATTCTCCAAAAATCGACTTATATGCTTGGATGGGACAAAAAATGCGTACTCCGCTCTATTGGTCAGCTTCTTTTTAACTTACATGAATAGGTACGAGTTTTTTCATTAAGTCCTGACGTCGTTTCACATTGTAAAGTGAACAGGTCCAGATCGATTCGAAAACATGACTGCCGTAGACGTCCGAAATAAGAGATTCCCAGTCATCCTAAGCGTGAACCTACTTCGAAATGTTACCACACTTTGATTCCGTTGTATTCGTTATTGTGATAGCAAAATGATAATATCTAGCTTATCAGCTAAAAAACTGGGCCCTCCTTCTTAAGAAGTGCTCCTATAAGCATCCTAAGATGATATAATAAAAAATGTCTCATATGGTCTTTTTAAACTGGAACAAAACAAAAAAAACACCACAGGAACAATAACAAGTCAAAAACTTCGGTGTTAATCAGCACCTCACCTCAAAAGCGGCTATCAGTTTCTCCTTCACGTTGTCCCCAAGAGAGCTACTTCTCAGCGCTGCTTGGATAACATGAGAACCACACCGATTTTTTGCCTAGAAAACCAGAACTTACACTACTTCATATTCGATTAAAAAAGATAAGGCGTTATTGAGCAAACTACGCTAGAACTTCAATTCGTCATAATTTCGCACTTATATGTGAAAGCTGCTACTTAACAAAACACCCGATATGCACTGACTACAACACATTTGGGATGAATTTCTTTTCTTTCGAGAATTTCTTCCTCAAACATATTTAAAATCAGAAGAGTATTTTACAAAAAAGGCATATACATTTAAGGCCATAGAGCAAATTCTCTTCCATAACGCTGTGTTCTCAACTTCTCAAATCTCTAGTGATGAAGGAACTACCGTCACAGTGAGTTGTCAAACAAACAAACAAACAAACAAAACAATTTCGGCCCATGTGTTAATGTATGATATGTAAGAATATAAGCGATAACTAGATAGGTGATTTTATGAAGAAAAACGCTGGAACTACGTTGCTACTATGTATGAACGGAAATGAACTTAAACGTTTAGATGAACAGCGCTGTGCTATCTTGGTTTGCATTACTTACTTGGACACTGGCCCTTCTTCACTAGTTGTGCGGACCCCATCATAATTTCCACATTCTCGGAGTTTTGCTTGTTTAGCCATTGTGGTTCACTGGTGTCCCTAGGTCAGCCTAGCCAAAGTCTGCCCCTGGTAGTAGACGCCCGTGTAGATGGTGGATCACAGGGATATTTGCCGCCATGCGACTAGTTTCGTACAAGGACGGTGGTGAATACTGATATTGGTTTACTCTTAGCTGGATTTCCTGATGAAAACGTCGGAGTCCTTCTTAGCTTGGAAGACCCTGCTGAGGGACGGATCTCTCTGCTGTACATTGCAGCCCGACACCCATGAACACCTCCTAGCAACGATGTGGCGGTAAACCGTTGAGAGGCTTCGTTTGCATTAAAAGGATAAGCAGGGTAAAGCTCTTGGTGTTGATCAATCCCTAAGGGATGCGCAGTGCACTCCACTTCATTAAGCATCGTTTGGAGGTGATTGAATGCATATCTGGCCTTTACAATGACTCGCGGTGGCCTACCGATATATCGAGTCAATGGTGCTATCCTCCCAGACAAGTCTGGTACCAATTTGCCGACCTCGGAGGGATGGAAGGTTTGATGAGCCTGGGGCGCGGAGATCGATTCCACGTGTGTGTCGCAGTGGCGCCTCCAACCACTGCGCCACACGGTTTGCATTACCATACAGAAATTAGGAAAACATCTAGTGTGATTTACGTCGCTTTCAGTACAAACAAATCAGGCTAGAAGACATTTTCACAGTTCTACTCACCAATCCCACAATGTGCTCGTATGGCAACGCCTCCAAGCAGGCAGTTAGCGTCTTCACCTTATGAAATGATAACAATGCCTCCAGGACTAATCCACCCTTAAAGTTCGCAGATTAAGCACGAAAGACCAAAATAGAAAATCATTTGAGGAAAATTTGGGCTCCTCAAACTTTTCGTCTAGTATGAACTCTCATTTAAAGAAGCAAAGGAACGAACATGTAAATGAGAGTCGTTGACGTCAAAGGTCTTTCCGTCGTACTTGTTGAATGTGATAACGTTCAGAAAAAAGTTCAACTTATTCTGAGGCTGGAATGAGAAAGCCTAACGTATATGCATTTTGTAGATCTCTTAAAACACAAAAGATTATATTAATCCTTAGAGGCCAATGAGACTAACTGGACTTCCAGTAATACCTAAATGGCGACTGGATATACTCATTCTATTGAGATCGTTTACTTTGCAGCACAGAGGTTCTTCTACTGCACTTTTTAGATTCAATCGATCGACAGATTACTTAATATTGAGTGTTGGGTCCCCCGTATTTAAACCCACGTACAAGTACAAAATTTCTAACTGCCAAGATTACAGCTCCTTCCTGAGTTAAGATATGATTTCTTATCCCATTCCAATAAAAGAAATGAAAACTATACCATGCTTGCCCTGAAGAACTTTCGTAATTCTTTCAAAATCGGCTCCTGTAGGACTTCATGATTTGAAGCGCACTGAAGTAGGGCCACCAGAACTCCCCATCTATCTGTGGACAAAAAAGTCTGGATCAAAGTCGTTGCTTCATGGCAAATATCGGTCGCCTAAACCAATACATGTTCTATCCAGAAGCGGAAGAAAGAAAATAGACAGGTGTTAGTCACCAATTCCAAAGACTTCACATTAGCAATGAACTTCTGCAGAGGAAAATTGGCGGATGGGTGATTGGCTAATTCGAGAACCTGCAAGAAACAAACGTTCAACTAAAAGTTCGAAATTAGAGAGAAAAAATACATATATTGGAAGTTCTTACGTGTTTAGCTACTATATTCCTCCAAACTAGGTATAGCATTTCCTCGCGACAGCTTACCATTAACTTCTCCCACACTCTTGAACTGTTCTTCCCACACCAAAGTTGTCGTAACTCTAGGAAAAGTTTAAAATTAGTGAATAAATCCACTACGAAAACATGCTAGAACGCATTCTACCATTTCCACCAGACTTTTTAAGGATCTTCTCGACCAGAGCTGGCGATTTTTCCATTTTCGCTATGTTGTCAGCTTCGATGACATCTTGCATAACAAGGGATAGGTGAACATTCTCAAAGCGAGCTGAATTGATTACGTAAAAGAGAAACGAATACAAAATAACAGAAAAGAACAAAACATACCAGAAGATACGCTTTCCAAAGCCAATGAAGCTATACGACTAAATATTCGTGACAATCTAACTCTAACGTTTTCGTTTTGGAACTGCACCGGCTGTGTCTTTGCTAGTTTCGTATGCATATCCTTCAAGAAACCTGCCATCTTTTCATTTTCACAGTGATTAATGGAAGCGAAATCAAAACTACCAGAGCAAGAACAAACGCGTATTCCGAATCAATTACTGTTTATTTAATGGCAGATATTAAGCACAATAGGTAGACACCTTCTCTTGTTTTTTTCCAAGTCCACAAGCTAGACGTGCGAAGCATCTTATCAGGAATGCTGAATGCTGGCATTCCACAGCATCGTACCAGTTGTCACATAACAAGTCCGAGAACTTCTCGACCAGCTGTAATCGTAACCAAATTGGGCCAGTGGGTAAAAAATACAGAACCACTCAGATGTACCTCCACGTGCTTATCCTCTTTTATTGGATGAATTGCATAAAACAGCGTCTCGATCGCTCGTGAAGCATTGCCCGAAAACAGTAAATCTAGCAGACGTCTATGCTTCAGCCGTGCCAAGCCAGATAGAAACAAACTGGCTCCGTACTGCGAGGAACCTACAATAATTAAGGCTATATCGTGCAAATATAGCTGACACAAAAAAGCAAGACCTAATTTTTATCAAACTCATTTCCCGAACGGATTTTGCAAAGTCTTCAAAATTATATTCCCTTCCGCTCAATAGGAAGCGTGAAGGAGTGGTCAGAGCTAGCTTGTGATCCACATGGCCATTGATTGAACCTGGTTTCCTGGGCTAATTAGGCACTCTTTCCTTGGAAACACGGCAAAGCGATGCCAAACCTGTCTAGGAGGATAAAAATACTGACCTGAAAGAACGACAGCCCACCCTCAAGTTACTGTATAGGCTAATCCAGCACACATTTCTCAATGGCGATGTACAGCGAAATCACCACTTAGCAGCGCCTCCCAAGCCACGAAGGAATGGATCCACCACGCTCTGGTATCAAACTAGTTGCATGGCAAATCTCCCTCTAATTCATAAGAGTGGCGACTGCCTATGGTGGTGACGACCTGGAGCAGACTTTGGCTAAGCTGACCTCGAAACTCCAGAGATCCACAATAACTGAACCAGCAAAACTCCGAACAAATGGAAATTATGCTGGGGCCCACACAACCAGTGACGATGGGCCATCCAAGTATCCAAGTAAGTAATCAAACACAATCACCTCTACGAAACTCGATAAACTCGAACGCATGGAAAATCCCTACGGGATAGGGTCTATTCAGAATTTCTTCTTTCCTATTCTTTTAAGCAACAAGTCAAGATAAACATCTACAAGCAGTTGCAACTACTATACCAAAGACGTTCTCGATGACGACGCATGAATCTTTGAACGAAAGAAGCCTCTCCTCTTCGCCGGAGCATTCTTGAACGCACTTGTCGATAACCATATTATCTAGAAGAGGAGTGAAAAATAGAATAAAAAAAATACATCGCGTATGCTGACTTTTTATATTAGAACTAGCTGAGGCAAAGGCGAAATGAAGGACCCGCATGGTGTGGCGGTGAAGGCGTTAGCCTCCGTAAAGTGTAATAGCGCGCTCGTTCCCGACCGCAAACACCTACAGTCCAGAATTTTGCAAATATCTCAGCACCATTATAGTTGCATTTGGAGTATATTTTTACATGAATAGAACTACACAGCATTAACGATAACTCATACATTTCTATAACACCTATAGCCGAATACCTCACTCACCGAGATGCCCATCGTTCAACATCATACCCTCAATATTTTTCAGATAGGCTACTAGCTCTACTGGAAACGCTTCCTTGTCTTCTCTTTCATGGTTTTTTTCTCCGCCCAATGTATTTCCAAGAGTTTGTGAATCACCGCCTCCACCTACTCGCCCATATTTCTGGAAGAGTAACAATTCAGAAAACAACCGAAAGTTTGCACCAAACTGGAAAAAATTGGAACTCCGTAAAACTTACTCGATCGAAATCAGCACCACTGTAAGTTCGACAGTCTCTTGAAGGCTGATTAATCCGCTGTCTCCACCGACCACGAGATCCAAAACCTTTTCCCTTACTAGGAAATGAGCGACGATACGCGTTTTTGTCATGGTTTGAATTCACTAAATTAGACGGCTCCTCTGCAGAAACCGACTGATAGCCATATTCCGAGAGTCGGTCTCTTTCGTAGCGCACAACTTCGTTTTCATTTTGAATACTCTCAAGTTTCCGTTTCCTTGTCATCTGGGAAAAAATAGGAATTTTTTTAACTGGATAAACTAAGCATAGCCATTTGCTGTTTTAACGTCACAATCAAATGTGTTTTAACGTTTGATACTCAGACAATATATCTTCACATGCCATGCTGGTCCCGGAACTTCATTTCATTGGCTTACAACTACCATTTAATAGAGGTGGCCTGGTTCGGCTATGGATTCACCAGCAGCTTGAGAACTTATAATCTTTTTCAACTTGAACAAGTGCTAGATTTCTCCTAGAAGTCCAAGATAACCGATTCCGGATGTTCTGAGAATGCCATGACTGCTAGGTGGGTTGCCGTGAATAGACGAGAAGCTCACCCTCTTGGGTTTTTAATTATTAGTCGACAATGTTCTAAAATTTGTTGGTGAAAGTGTTAAAACGGTTTGATTGAGTTATGCTAAAAAGCAACGCTTTCGATCGCATTCGAATCGAGTCCCAAGAGGTTCCACTTCAGAAAGACCTCAGTCGCGAGAAAGCAAACCTTCTTCCAGTTCACAAAGATAAGGACCGCTTGTGTGAAAACCAGTGAACATTCAGGAACCACCTACCACAACCGAACCCAGAAGGGTTATCGAGTTGTGCCTAGAAGGGTTAAAAGAACGAACGACTGGAAGTACTCTGATATGCATAACACGTGAGGAGGGTCATTTTGGCAAATGACTAATGTTCATAGAGACACAACAAATTAGATGTAAACAGCAAAAGTCAAAATTTATAATAAAATTAGTTACTGCAGACACAAACAAAAATATCTCGATGAACGCATGAGGCTTACAATGTACAAGAACATTAAGAAATATTTTATTAATCCGTATAATTTGATACATACTCATCTATAAAAAGAGAAAACTTCAAGAATTCAAAGTGTAAACAGTATCAGTCTGACAACAAGGTGGTACATTCATCGAAAGGAATATGAAGCACTAAAACGTAAAATCATATAGCGAATGTGAAATGAAGATGACAAAAGAAACAGCGGTGCAATGGGCTGTACGTGGGGATTGACATGGATGTCCGGAATACTTCTCAAGAATGATGGCGAATATATGCCCACTAGGCGATGTTATTAATTGACGTACCTTAGAGCTTTTGTTTAAAACCACGTCGATCTTCAGGGAGAATGTGCAATAATAAAAAAAGAAAAACATAAATTAACATCTGAGCGACAACGATTCGTACGCAATGATACAAAAAATGACTCAGAAGAAGTGATGAAGAAGTAGTAAAAGGGTCCGAACTGTGCAAGATCGTCAGATTGGAGTAAAAAGGAAGCAAATGTTTCAGACCCGTTTCACTACTGGTTAAAGTCGTAATGATGAGAGAAAGGAAGGGCAGCAACCGTGCATACAATGACTATTGGGAACAGGCCCAGCTCCAGAAAAGTACCAGCAATTGATCGGGAATAATAAAACAAACTGATTTTTTGAACATCTCACATATTTAGGTAAGAACAGGCAGCAAAAAAAGCGACCAATATGTCACCTAATGATAGAGGCACGCGAAACGATCAACATAAAAAGAAACGTCGTTGTATAATTATTGAGCTCAACAACATATTCGGTAAAAGCAAGGCGTGATTGTTACGTGATGATGATGAACAATCGAAACGATAGAGTGGGTGGGGGAAACCCCGAATCCAAATGACTACATAGGGAAGGAAATGATATGAAGAGCACGAGCGTCTTCTGAATAGAAGTCACAAGTTATGGCGTATAGGTTTCACAAGCAATCATTCATTCATAGAATTAAGCACTTTTTCTTTTTCCTCGGCACATCCCGGTTCCGCTCTCGGTGCTAGAAAACAGAAGGAATTCAACGGAAGCAACGAACGGCCTAGTTCTTTCGGAAAACATTTAAGAGGTGAACGAACCCTTCTAATTTCGCGTACTAGAGTGTAAAATGCATCGTCGACACCCATTCTTGTTTTTGCTGAAGTATCTACCATAGGTATACCTGAAAGTAAAATACGGAATGAGACGAAATGAGCTAACCATTTTAAGAAAAAGACTACTACCATAGGCCCTAGCTGCATCCGCAACAGTTCGACCATCAACAGCACGCTGAGCAAGATCACATTTATTCCCAACTAACACCATTGGTACCTGAAAGTTTTAAACAGCAATCTCAAGAATTGAGAAGGAAACATGTGAGTTTGCTCCACATATTGTTCCTGGATACCTCTTTAAAAATTACTTCTTGCCCATAATATTTATTCAGAAAATTAGTTTACAGTGACTTTACACCAGACTCAATGATCTTAAAACATAGAAATCGCACCGCTTTGCTATAGGAGTTCAAATGTGGATGGAAAGCGACGGTAGCAAGTCGAAATACCATCAAAGAATGTTGAAGGTTTGGTACCGACGGTATCAGTCTTCATGAAAAAGAAAGCCATGGATTTAGCAGCAGCACCAGCAGATGACGACGAGCATATGGAATGGCCATTGAAATCTCCAGAAACTACTTGACCAGTTAAGAAACTGAACATTCCTTATTTAGGATTCATTCGTTGTTTGGAAGACATCGGAGAGGCGAAAAAGTTTGATATTTGGAAGCTGCATAAATTGACTAGACAATAACAATGTGTTCCTAAACATGCCTAAAATCTATGAAAAGACGGTCGTGACAACATTTTCTCGTAAGATAATCGATTGTACTTGGGACAAGCGATGGTACGCAAGAGAACAATCTCACGAAATGGTGGAGATCTTGTAAACACTGCTGCTGAAATATCCAGATATGACGAACAGAAATGGTCTAATCGTTTTACAAGACAACGCTCAACATTATTTAACACGGTAAACGCTGCAAAAATGAACGACTTGGGCTACAAAAGCCTTCCACACTTATCGTGCTCATCGAATTTCGTGTTAAACTTAGAGTTACTAGCTGCAAAACAAAGATCTTGTGTTGAGCGTTCATCGGGAAAACCTCTATTCTGCACTTAGAAATATAGACGAAACCGTTTTCTAAACGAATTCACTAACCATGGTGCTAATCGATCACTTCAATTTCAACTGCTATAATGAATGAAAGTTGTAAAAAAGGATAAAGGATAAAGACCTCGGCGTTCATCAATCCCTGAGGAATGCACCATGCATTGAACTTCATTAAGGGTCGTTGGAGGTGATTAAATGTATACTTGGCCTTTACAATGACTCGCGGTGGCGTACCGATGTATCGACCCAGTGCTGCTAACCTCTCGGATAAGTCTAGTAACAATTTGACGAGCCTGGAGTGATGGACAACTTAATGAGCCTAAGACGTGGGAATCGATCCCATGTGTATTGCAGGGTGCCTCTGACCACTGCGTTACACGCGCCCTTAGTTATAGTTAATGGTAGCTATACAAGGATAAAGTACCGGATATAAACTGGGTATAAAAAGTACTGAAATAGAGATTCATAAGTGACAAAACACTTTTGGATGCTCACAATAATGTTTGTACGATGGAGAATAGTAACATATAATAAATATCATAAATATCATTCATACCAATAAAACGATAGAGCAAAGCGTTTTCTGCAACTCATTCATGTTCACAACTCATAAAACCCTTTAGTTCCGAAAAATTATTGCTTATTTTCGGAAAACCAGCGAGTCCACTGCGCTTGAAAATCGGGCCTCGATCAAACCGCGACAAACCCGAGAGTTGGGGTGGTAGCAAGAATGTTAGAAAATCCTCAATAAAAGTAATAGCAATTCTGGAATACGAGCTTACGTCATCACTATCTTTCACCCGTCTTATTTGTTCACGATAATTGGCGACGTTTTCGAATGACTTCGATTCATTCACGGCGAAAACAAGTAGGAATCCTTCACCTAAAAACGATATTTTAATCATAACGATATTGACATACTGGCGAAATCACGGACCGTAGATGCCTGCTGTGGGAAAACAGCTTGTTACTACCCTTTCCATGGGCTAACGTGTTCATCACCATCTCGAAAACTTTAAATTCGTATCAGCGCCTATGCGACAACATACATAACGTGTCTTATTTGACGAAACGTTTTCATTACACGATAAAAGCAACGATACGAGAACAGAAAAGAATTATTCGTTGTAAAACAACAAAGTGAAGTAGTTCCCACGACCGAGTTTCTACTAACCTCGACGCTGATCCGATAATTCTTTCTATTCTTTTTGAGCAAACACGAGGTGTTACATTATTCTTTATTGATGGATAAGCTGATATTTCAGCTTATTTCGCCATCGTTAGAGCTAGGGAAGACCAAGTTGACCGCAATCTACCAAGCCAAAGTGTTGGTTATGGAGTGTTTGGCTGGGCAAATTTCGGTCAAGTTGACCTTTCCAGGGTCTGAAGAAGGCAAAATCCACTGAAAGGTTAGTTTTTTCGTCAATAAAGAATAAAGTAACGCCTCGTGTTTGCTCAACAAGAATATAAAGAAAGTAAGACAAACTTTGGAAACAACAACGAAGTTTGAAACGTCAGATGTTGCGAAGAATGATCTATATAGAGAAAAACTTTAGAAACTAGGAACCTCACCTGTGCGCATGTATTGGTCCCGCATTGCTGAGTACTCTTCCTGTCCTGCTGTGTCCAGGATGTCCAGCAGACACGTTTCACCATCGATTACAACCTAAGTTAACATTCCTTACGAACGTAACATGGATGAACACCCACTATAAGAAGAAAATGGGCAAAGGATGTCAAAAGGAAGAAGAAAAAATATTATTTGAATAACAAAATCACAGATAAATCCGTTTGAAACCAGAACCAGACCTGTTTTCGATAACTATCCTCGATGGTGGGATCGTATTCTTCAACAAAGTGATTCTGAATAAGTTGAATAGTGAGGGCCGATTTGCCCACACCTCCATCACCCACCACCACCAGCTTGTACTCTGTCATTACCCAATGCTAAACTAAGGCACACAATTAGATTAAAAGTAGGTTAAGTAAGCGGAAGTAAAATGGATACGTCACAGAACCGTACTTTCCTAGAAAACAGTCGAGAAGAACAAACACAAAAAGTTGAAGCTTATAGCAGAATAATTCTTCTTTATGAGCGTTTTGTTAGCTTATCAAAGAAAATATGCAAGTTGGGACTAAAACATCGAATAGATATGACAGTCAAGGATACAGGAGCTATCAGTACTCGGAAGCACTCATAAAAACAACACTTAGAAACAGTGCAGTACTTTTAAAACTGATTTATTTCATCACCGTTAAGTGCCGATGGACATCCTGTTTGGAAGTGTTAGGCCATAAATCTAGCTAACGGCTTCAAGGAAAAGCATGCAAATGCACGGAAAAGTTATTAGCTAGGAATAACTCTTTTACAAAAACACCTACAACACAACATTGGCCAACGTTTTGGTGGTATCGTCTTCTTCTGAGCCTAGAAGGTCATACTGATACGTAATACATATTCATTACTTGATACTTGATACCTGAACGGCACGTCCTCAAAAGTTGTGCGGGCCCCAGCATAACCACCATTTTTCGGAGATTTGCTGGTTAAGGCATTGTGGTTCCCTGGAATCCTGAAGACAGCCTGGCCAAAGTCTGCCCCAGGTCTTCTCAGCATGGGAGACACTGCCGGGGAGACGAATCCCACCGCTGCACATCACAGTCCGACACCCAGGAACACCTCCCAGCCACGATGAAGCGGTAAACCGTTGGGAGGACATATTTATTAATACTATTTAACTTACAATCCAATGCCAAAGTTAGCACAAATGCTGAGAACAGCTCCCTATTACGTCTTACCTTCTCACTTTTCCACAAACGTTATGAATGACGTACGACACCTGGACCAACACATCTGAGTTAGGATTACTTTCCAGAAATCAGTTTTCTATACAGCAAATTTGCCTCAATGGCTGATCCGGGGACGCTGCCCAAGGATTTGGGCTTCACCTCGGCCATGGATTGCCTAGATCGGCTATCCGAGGCTGTTGGCTTCGGGGTGGATTCCCCGGATGGACTGCCAAGAGGTCTTGGCTTTGGTGCGGGATGCAACTGCTTAACTGGAAACGAGATGAAGGAAGCTCTCACGAAAGTTAGTTAGCCCTAACTCCAGAGGACCAAGCAACCCTAACGCTTCCAACATCAGCTGTCCAAAACGCCCTCTGTAAAAGGAACAATAACATGAAATTAAAGAAAGATGAGAATAGAATGACTCACAGAACAAACACATGAAAGAAATCGTAACTTGGGAAAGAGAACATTCTTTCATACAAGTACTTCTGAGAAAAAGAACCAAAACCCCGGGTCGAATGATGTCGATACGATCCGTATCCGACGATAAATCAAATTTCTCCGTACGGCTCCGGCTATGCGCTGTCGGCGGCAGACGGCGATCCTGAAGCGACGGCGGATCCGGGTGCCGTCGCCTGCGACGCGGCACGCACGTGCGTGTTTGACGATGAACTCCTTCGGGCTGTTGTTCCTCAGAACTACTCGTTAATGGTTACTCATAACTTCTGGTTGCGATTTGGGTAGTCCATTCGAAACCCTTAGATTCAACGGAGTAGATCGGCGTGGGCATAACTTCAACAGATCTATCGAAAAGCCTTTAATGTTCGGAAGCAATTTTGCTTAAGAGTGCTGTACAACTGAAATTCTGTTCCAACTGCACCTGTATTGTGCTACTATACAATTTTTCTTACGTCGTTGCTCTTTCTCGAACGTCATGAAACTTATTTTGTCACTGTAATGTCAGATCCACCTCGATATTTTGTTTAAGGGCGCGTGTGGCGCAGTGGTCGGAGGCGCCCTGCAACACACGCATGGGATCGATCCCAGCTCCCGTGGTTCACTAAGCTATCCATCCCTCCGAGGTCGGCAGCTTGGTACCAGTTTTGTCTGGAAGGATAGCAGCACTATCTCTATACAGCGGTAGGCCACCGAAGGTCATTGTAAAGACCAGATATGCATTCAATCACCTCCAACGATGCTTAACAATGTCGAATGCATGGCCCTCAGGGATTGATCAACGCCGAGGGCCTTATCCTTTTTTTATTTTGTTGGATAGTAAGGCCTTTACGTCTGGAAACTGTCAGTAACGATTGTTCGTCTTCGTAATTGTTGTAATTTTTCATGTTCGTACTTCCGATCTGCTTTAGGCAATGATTTTTTCAACGTACTTTTTGTCGTAACCAAGGAAGATAAGATTTAACTATTAACTATTCCTATGACCTTTGACCTCTGCATTGATCGATAATTCACTGTGTTTTCTTCTTTATTGAACAAACAGGAGCTAACACGAAAAAATAGACCCAGCGAATTATTCTTAAATAATTTACTGTGATAACATTCTATTTACTGCCTGTTATTATTTTTCATGGTAGAGTATGGTGTGAAATGAAGTACACTATGATGCTGAGATATTTGCAAAACTTGGACCCTAGGCCAGATCGAACCCGCAATTACTCTTCCGACGGCTCACATTTTGCGCGCGACACCACTGAGGGCCCTTGCTATGCATTTCTCTCAGCCATTTTTTGCGCATATTTCTGCCTAATATTAATTGTGATTCACTGTTTTGTTGCTGGGCATACGCGAGGTTGTTACTTTATTCCTTATTCGTACAAGAAGCTGACATTTTGGGAGGTTTCGCCTTTTTCGGAGCCTGGATAGGTCAAGTTGACGGAATTCAGTACGTGGAGGACCACCTTCGAGTAGAATAAAAGCCGTAAACTTGACCTTTCCAGGCTATGAAAAAGGCGAAATCCGCCGCAAGGTCAGCTTGTTCCTTTGTGAATAATGTAACAACCTCATATTTGCTCATCAAGAAAACAGTGAAATATTTGTTCAATGCTCAGGTTAATAGGAAATCGGTTTTGGGTGTTCTCAACTAATTTTAAGATCGCATCCTTGTTTCTGGCTGTTACTTGCTCATAGTAAAATGGTTCAACTAAGTTGGATTAGGTAAGGTTATACCAAATTGTTGACGTGATTCCTACGAAGAAAAACAAGGGCCGAATAGATGTGACAACTTAACTGGTAGTATTTTCATTTTATTTTTTATTTGTACTACGTGTACTTCACGTATGCTGTGCGGATCACAGCACTTCTTCTGATCGATTCGTTTCTTCGTATTCACGAAAGTCTTCGAACCTATTCCTTCTGAATTCGGCTGCTGATTGAGGAGTTCTATTTTCGCAGTGGCTGTCTTTGAATGCTGTTCTCGAGTCGATTCTCCGTAGAGTCCTGAGATACCCATGATAGAGCGCTTTCACTGAGACTGCGGAGAAAGAACTTTTCCCTCACAAAGGGTTTCTGAGGGAGTTAGAAGCGTCTTCAACAATTATTAAGACATTTGCGATGAAAATCAAATAAGATGGTCCGTTTGAATCACCAGAGACCGTTCTGACATGAGTGGTGCTTTCAGGAATTTCCGTAGCTCAATAACATTCAAAGACACATCGTTGTAACAATTCTAACAAAGAGAAAATTATTCAGTATAAAGTATAAAGCAGTTAGGAAGTGGATGGTCTTAGGTGGGTGTAGCCACCGCTGCACCTTAAGTGCTTATTACAAATTCCTTTTATACTATAGTTTGGGTAGGTTTTTCTTTTTTCTTTTTGAATTAAATTGTTTAAGAATTCTATTCCTGCAATTCAGGACACTTTTCCAAGCGTGTGGGCGGATGGAACTGGGTTGTATGTGCTATCTTTATTAAGTAGATTGTTTATGCCCACGCACTATAATATAAAAAATGGAACTGACACGTGTCAATCCACCCACTCGAGTTCAAATTGCAGATTCAGAGATTCAGTGGGAAGTATCAGACTGAAACTTCTGTTATGGAAAATTCGACGCTAATGATTCTTTACAATCTTTTGGAGCCATTTCGTTGTCATCTGTGTGCTGATACGACATGATTGTTATTTGAATACTGGTATCCCCTGTCAGCCGATAGTCGTGCAGTGACTAGCACAATTTTCATTTGTTTAGTAATTTGCTGATTATATAAGATTTTCGTCCTTTTCTTGGAGTCTCCAGATAGTTATGCTGAGGCTTTCTAAGGTTAGTCGCCACCGGCTATTAGGGATTGGAGGGAAACTGGCGTGCTTCTTACTGGACTGACAGCTGATTAACACTGATTGGAGACATTGATTTATTCTTAGTCCAGATCGAAAGGTAGAAATACTTCTCGGTTTGATAAACCTTGGTGGGTAGATAAACACCCAGAACCATGACGTCCACCTAGAGGCGCTGTAAATCATTTGGAAGGACTGGTCCAGTATTTGTCAGAGTGTCTAAAACCGTCTAAAATATGCTGCTGTACGTGTGATGACATCACTGTTATTACTATTATTACTACTATTGTTATTATTATTACTGTTGTTGTTGTTATTATTATTCAGTGACCCTATATCACATCTATCACACTGCGAGTCCCAGCACTTCGTGCATTCGATTGTTTTCCTCGCATTCGGCATCCACTAATGCCTTTGAACGTTTTTGCATATGCCTTGGACTGCTGCTTGAGGATGCTGCATTTCCCGTCTTCGTGACGCACGTCATCGAATGTTGGTCTAGTCGATTCTCGCAGCATTCTTGGGATATCCATGCTTAGGCGTTCACACGTAGATTAAAGGGAGTGAGATGGTTCCGGACAAGTTTCGTATCAATTTCCTAGCCCCGGAGGGATGAGAAGCTTCGTGGGTCCGAAGCACGAGTCAAGCTGACGCCTGGGTAGGTTGAGTTATCAGTGCCACGGTGCTACCCGCTCCCTATGGTGGCATTAAACTTAAGTGGTAAGAGATTTAATGACTAGTGTCACTACTTATGTTCGTGTAATCACCTGGATTATATGATATTACTGATTAATAATCTCTGTCCTTCCTGGTGATTCAACAACATTTGCGTTGAAATAGGCTACTTTTGTTGATGTTCGTCGCTTTTGTCAGATGCGTTAGTGAGGATTTTATTCGAGCAAACTCTCTTTGTTTCATAATATCTGGTATTCGTAATCTTCAGTGCATTTCAGTCGTTCGTTTTTCGTACGATGCTCCCACTAAAGAAAACTTTTGGTTCTTTGGCTCTTGGATGATTCCCATTTGGGAAAAAAAGAAGTACTTCACTCTGGGTAGCGCTACAACCTGTTAAGATGGTTTTATATCGTTTATATCGGCGGTCGTTTTTCAAAGTCTTTTCATCTGCTTATCCAAGTGAGGTGTCTGCTTAACATTCAAATTTGGAGCTTTTTCAATCTATAGTATTCGTTATGACATTTTTTATTCACTATTTATGGAAGTAAACATCGAAGTTCGTATTAAAATTCAGTGAAGGTGATTTAAGTGTTAGAAGCCTGTATTGAATTGATATAAAGCACAGGAACAAATGGTTGAAGTTAGAGTGAGGTATTTTGGAGAGTGCTATCCAACTCCCATTACTATTTTCAGTCGCACTGGTTCTTGCCCTTGTTTGGGGAGAATCTCTCAATTACTACTATTGGAGACTTTTCTGGAATATTCCTCAACCAAACTCTTCGGAATCTTTGGGAGCACTCATTGTGGCGGATCCTCAGTTAGTTGGTTTCAGAAATGAGAATCACATGATTGGTCCGCTGACGAGATGGGACTGCGATAGGTAGGACTCGATGCGGTTTTAATCGCACGTTTTCCTCTGAACTGTTTTCTTCTGTTATTATTCGTTTGCATATTCATTCCATACAACATATTGTATTGTGGCCTGCTTTTTAGGCGTTTCTTTTTTTTTTTGGAATTACGGTCTCGCAATTCTTTATCTTTCTCTTCTTTTTCTTCTCTTTATCTCTTTATCGCCTCATCGTGGCTGGGATGTGTTTTTGGGTATGTTGGGTATGGGGCTGCGATGTCCAGCGAGGGCCTTCCCACGCAGAGTACGAGTCCTGCGTTCCCATTAAGAAGCCTAGCTAAGGATAGACTATAATGATACCATGATCCACCACTGTCGTGGTAGCAAAGTAGTCGCATGGTGGCAAATCTCCCTATGATCCTCAAAAGTGACATCAGCCTGTGGTGGTGACGACCTGGGGCGTACTTTGGCTAGGCTCACCTCACAACTTTAGGGAACCACGATGGCTAAACCGGCAAAACTCCGAAAGAATGGAAACTATACGGGAGGAGGGCACAACCAATGGATATGGGGCATACAAGTATACAAGTAAGTTGGAATCACGGGATACCATACCAACACCTAGGAAGCCGTAACAAATTTGAAAGGGCAGTTCCTATAATGGATATTTCCTATTCCTATAAGAATGTTCCTATGATCTTTTAAAGTGAGTTGTAGAACTCATGAGGTTTTGAATTTTATAAATCTATTTTTATTTAATGTTGAGCTATATTTTTTGAAGTTTTCCTGAACAAGTTTTGTTACAAAGGTTGGAATCGAGTTGTAGGTGAGAAACAGTACAGCAGAAGTACAGTAGGGTTCCTGTAAATAATGGTAAAGTTTTTCTTACGCTTCTAGCAGGCTATCTAGTTAACTTGTTTGTAGCAATGCTGATTTTTCAATTCTCAAGTATCTATCTAGTTTGCATGGCCGAACCTTAGATATCGTGCGTATTCTAGCATTTCATTCAATTCCTTTCTCACACTCTCCACGACGGATTTTATGTGTGGATTCGGCTGTTGCTTGAAGGTCTTTGATCTTGTTTGTTACTATAGTTGGATCTATGTCGAGCCGATTCTTTCAAGATCCTTAGGATAACCATGATAAGACGCTCGCTGGTCTTCTAGAGCTGAGCGAGCTTCGCAGATAACTCTGTTACCAATTCCACGACCCAGGAGCAATGGTGAGAAAAAACTATGTTGGTTAAGGAAACGAAACTTCTGAATTCGGTACAGACGAAGTGACCGTGAACGTCAACAAAGTTGCATGTTCTCAATGAATTCTCTCTTGTTCAATGATTTCGCTTACCGAGATAATTGGTAACGGTCTGTTAAAAAGTAGAAAGAAAAAATAAGTGTTTGAATTGAACGACGCCAAAATTCTTTCGCGGTAGTATCTCCCTTAAGGACTTCTACATATTTCAATGGATTTTATCTAATAAAATGTTCACAACCATATACGATCGTCTAAAGTTCACAGACTGAACAGTTATTCGTCACTTATATATCGAGCCATTTCACATAAACGTGAATATGTCCAGTTGTTTTCGAATCCCAATCAACAGCACTGAACAAGAGGCCCTGCATGTATTATTTCTTATTGATAGGCCAACATGAAGTTGATAACAAGCTTTATTTGGCTAACGTGTGCATGACCGTTATTGTTGATAGTGACTCTCTGTTGATAATCGTTTGTTCTTCTACGGACAGTCCGTCCTACAGTAGTCCGTATCATTGTTGGCTAGCATGAAGCATAGCATTCAAAAATAGTTCAAAAACTATATTTTCTAGATTTTGTAGAGTGCCAGGTCTATATAATGATAGTAATACTAAAGCAACAACAACAGTAGTTAATAGTTAAATATTTTAAAGGTTAAAGAAAAGCGGGTTTTAAAAAGAGACTGCATATTTTGCAAAGCAAAAGTTGGATAGTTTTCGTTTGGGAGACCTGAAAATGTTCCTTTTGTTACGGACCCTCATTGGATTATTTTTCAGATTTCTTTCAAAAGGATTTTCACACGCCGTGTCCGCCACAAATCCCGATGTGATTGTGTTTCTTGGCGATTTATTCGACGAAGGTGTTGAGGCTAGTGAATCCGAAATTGAGTGGACGTTGTCACGATTGAAAAACATATTCAATTCTCAGTTTCCTGTAAGTTTTGTTTTAGGCTAACGAAATCCTATGTTTACGGCTATCATATGTCAGAAAATCTTCATAAGTGGTGATAATGATGTCGGTGGTGAAATGGAGCCAGTGCAGAGCGTGCTAACGACCCGTTTCCGCAGCACTTTCACGAACTCCTTTCCAGCATCTTCTGCGCTATTTAACCACTTAACCATCACCGAAGTAAGTAACTCTGCTTAAGTAATTTGACTTTCTGCGAAGTGGAGGTCTTAGTTTCGGATTACGTGTTCTAATTTTCGTTCTAGATCAATCTTATGAATGTTGAAGTCCATGAAATTTCGGAGTCGTCTACTTTTCCAAGTTTGAATGTGGTTTTGAGTCACGTTTCGTTTGCCTTTTCATCGTACCACGACCCAGCAAAAATGGTTAGTTTTGTAGTGGAACAAATACTATTGCTGCATCGTTTTTAATTCTCCAGGCAAAATGAGCTAAATTTTTAGGCAGGAATGCTTGAGCCAGATCTTATATTAAGCGCACATGATCACAAGGTTAGTTTTCGCTTTATGGCTGGTTTTCTTTCCTTCATTTTGTAAGAAACAACAGCTTTTCCTGAATGATGTAACTTTCTAAACTTTGCTTTGAATTTCGTATATTTATTAGTAATATGTGAAATGAGTGTGGCGCAGTGGTCGTATGCGCCATGGAACACAGATGAGATCTATCCCGGTGGCCCAGGCTCACCGAGCCATCCGTCCCTCCGAAGTCGTCAAATTGCGACCAGACTTGTCTGGGAGGATAGCAGGTAGAGGCCAGGTATGCATTCAGTCACCTTCAACGATGCTTAATGAAGACGAGTGCGTGGCGCATCCCTCTCATGGATCGATCAACACCACGACCTTTATCCTTTATTAGTAATATGTGTTCAAACTTCCACGACTATATATTCCGTCAATAAGGCGAGATGATGATTCGAAGTGTGGATCTGCAGTACTTAGCGGCAAATTATTTACCCAGCAGGGTATGCAAGATTGAGTATGTGTTTGACACTCGATTCGAAAACCGAACAGAAAGTAATAAAGTGCTGATAATTGCCACTCTCATGAAAGAAACAGCCTTGAGGCGGGAGCATTCTTCCGAAACGTAAAGTTTCAGTAAAGAAGATTTACGGTTGTATTTCTACAAGCATAAAATGCCGTATAGTTCCCCAAGAAGGTTTTAAATTTGTGTAGTACGTTTTCTCACTTAACAGTTATGTGTATATATTTTCTGAATTTCGGATTACCTTGCCATGTATTTCCAGGCGTCAATACACCAACTTTACCGAAATAATGGTACTGTGGCGAATTTCACCGATCTCACGAATGTTTTCGAAATTCAGGAGGCAATGGTTGGAAAACAGGAGATGATCTTCGAGATACAGAGTCCCACATGCTCATACAGGTGGGTGAGAACTTTGGTTTCTAAACTGGACTACGGCTTTATAATAACCCCTTCTAATACCAATTTCGAAAATTTTTCCACTCATCTTTCCATGTAGTCCAGTAGCGGTTTTCGATTCCAAAATTGTTTATAATAAGGTGATTTTTTAAAGAGAGGCAATGTACCTGTTACAGTGCCTATCCGCCAATATTTTAGTCTCTTATCGTTCTATAGAAACTCCCAGCTTATTTACTGGTATGGCAACGCTATCCTGGCTTCCATCAGAGCCTCAACTGGAGGAAAACCTTGAAATTCCCAGCGCACCACTACCAGGAATTACCATTGTCTTTGTGAACAACTAGGAAATTGTGCTGGGGCTACACGAATTTTCGTGAAATTAGGTCGTCCAGGAAAGTATTTAGGTAAGTACTGGTTACTGAAATTTGGAAGTGATTTTAGAAGTTGGTCTGTCGATCAACTGAAGTCATCGATGTATAAATTAGACCAAACTGCGCTTCTTAACGAACCTGTACTTGGAAACTGAATATGGCTGGGATTCTTACTTAGACTTAACATTGCCATGAGCTTTATCTGTTTGTGCTTTATCTCTGCCGATACGTTTCAGTCAACGTTATTCTGCCGAAGTTTCATTTCAGAATGGGAGTTTATGATGTCGGTTATGGATTTCTGAGGATCGAATCCGTTCCGACTGTTGGAAAATTCCGAGTTTCCTTCTCCATTTTATGGCTACCCAGTCGATTTTATGCGTTGTTAATCTACTTGCTTCTTATCATTCTTGGAATAGTTGTTTTATGTGTGCAGATTACTTTTCTTTTCGTCAAAAGACGAATCAAGTACACTTCGTTGCCCAAGTACTAGCTAATTCTTACTTTTACAGGCCCCTATGATTGTATCCTGTAAAGTCTCTGATCTGCAGCTTCACGTTTTGTCTCTTGCTCTTCTCTCAGGGATAGAAACTAGTCCCGGTGATTTTGTCACTTGTCTATTCTTCCAAATTTGATCAGTATCCTACTATTATTATGCTATAGTACTATTACTGTTCTCAGCTAGTCGAAACACGAGCGAAATTATCACCGATCAATAAATAAAACTTAGAGGTGGTCTGTGTTTCGAAATTTATTGCTAGCTAAGCATACGTTTTTTTGAGGATTTGAACTAACCTATCACCATTCATCTGGATATAAATTGATTTCTTTGTCCTTTTTCCCAGGGCTGCTAGTTTGAGTTTTTGGGTTGTTGAGTTGATGTTAAGTTGTTTTACCTTATTTACATGGTATTGTTTGATGATTTTGCGAGTTTTCCTCTTTTTCAAAGGGTCAATAATTCTCAGTATGCTTGTTAAGTATTCCTTCCAACCTACAGAGTGGTTTAAATCTCAGTTACGCTACTACATCGTAGTCAGCTCGACGCAAGCTCATTGTTTTGGTTACGCGCTCAGGGGTGGAGTCCATTCAGGGTTTCCGAGCGGTGGGCTATATTTATATGGAATAGCAAGTCAGTACGTGTTGTAGGTCAACACGTGGATCCATCTTATAAATCGTGTTCACGTATCATGAGTAATCGTTCATATTATTATTTGGATTCAGGGAGCTTCATAATCGGATTAGAACGTTTTGAAAATGGCAGAGTGGCGCTTTTGTTTACCGCTTCTGATCGTTTCCGTCATCAAATGGCTTTGGTCAGGACCAATTGCCCAGTAGAATCCCTCCCACTCTGAAGAAGATGGATGTCGTCGCACTTCTTGTTTGAACCTTTTCACTTTTCACTGCTTTTGCATGGTACTCGTGAGTAACGCGAGTGCCCACAGCATGATGTGGGCGGCTATGAGCATTGCCATTTATAACGCGCTGACAGAAAGCTTGGTAAGTTCTCATGGAATACGATCTGTTCGTTGTAGGCGACACAGGATCACCTTTGTTGAACTTCGTAGTCACTTGGTGGGGCGTTTTTTGAGCTAATCGAAATGAAGCATAAAGTTCGTACGTACAAGCATACATGTGTTATTCGAGTAAGACAAAATTCGGTGGCTATGAAGCCCATCTTACCGGACCAAGCTGTGGCTAATCTAACCTCGACTAGATATGGTGGCACATCTTGTAACAATTAACCCTGCTAAATTTGTGGTATAAAAAAATTCGGTGAGTATTTGTATCAATTTATCTACATACGTGTTAAGTGCGCTACTTTGTACCGCAGGCCGCCACTTAGTTTTCATTTTGTCGTCAATGTTTCTTCTAGAACTTTTTTCGCAACAAAGTAACGAATACGGTATTAAATAGACTGAGTGTACAAGTTTGTTTTACAGGTTACGATATGTTCTTATCAGTTATATCATCGTTCACCATTCTTATACGATCGTTAGACCGTTGCAGTATCGTCCTCCTTGGTAACAAATACTTTCGTATGGATCTTCTAGCAATAGAAATGATTTCCTGATTGCTTAAGGTTTGGCTTCGGCTCTCTCACACAATCCCCCTGCGATTTGTGTTCTGGGTTTAGCTCCGTCCCGCACCTCACTCGAACGTTATCGATGACTATTACTGGCTCGTTTCCAAACAACATAGTTTTACATTCCTTTAAATGTGAACTCCAATAGTTTAATCTTTTCTTTTCTTCTCTTTCTTTTTTTGTTGACAAACATGGACCTATTATTTTTGTTGATTTTAGGACGTTTTTTGCCGACTATTGATCATCGCTTTGCACTGGGAGTAAACCTTATCTGTGAACAATGGCTGCTGTCTTAAAGAGCCTTAGGCAGCAAGCTCTGCTTCATTTCAGTATAAACACAGCCAACTACTAAAACGTATCTCGTTAAGAAGGCACATTTTTCCTCACATTGTTTTCGCTTGTTGTTCTGGTCGAAAGGTGGTTCATTAGTGTTTTCAGGAATAGAGTGAGTTGGTCATCTGAATTCTTCTGGCTTTTTTTTTTTTTTATGATAACGTCCTGATGTTTGTCCAGGTATACTACGTGAATCATTATGTTTGCTATTGCTGGACTCCAGGTCGGGTCGATCGATACATAGTACTATGAGTTTGGAAACCACGAAGTTTTGAAGCACTGTCTTCAGTACTCGGTGTACTTGCTCACACTGATTTACTCAGGTGGTCCGTGTTCACATGTAGTTCAAGCAAGCCTTAGCGATTCTCTCAGCTGTTCCGTTGTCTTGCCACAGTCATGCAGAGAGGTGCTCGAGTTCCCACATGGGTTTGGGCCTAGCTTGAAAATCTATTGTCTTCTTCCACTATTGAATAATGAGAGCTGTTCGAGCAGAGTTTTATTTGGAATTCCAAGATAGGCGTAGAAAGGTGTGCTCAAGTGTTCGGCGCAGTCGTAGGTTCTTATGGGTCGATGGGAATGTTTGTTGAGCTACGACTAGAATTCTAGGACGATGGCGATCCCATATTTAGAATGATGTATTTAGCATTGAGAACGATCTATATCAAGCCTAAGCCTACTTTTTAGTTCTATGAATTTACCTTATCTGAATGTAATAGTTACTGTAAACATATGTGTGCTTACTTGGTTACTTGGATGGCCCGTCTTCAGTAGTTTTGCTTGTTTAACCATTGTTCTCTGGAAGGTCAGGGAATCCACCCGCTGTACATCGCAGCTCGATACCCAGGAACACCTCCCAGCCATGATGAGGTTGTAAATTATTGAGATCCTCACAATTGTTGTTGTTATTACTACACTGTTTTATTATAAATTAGGTGATGTCCATGGGTTTTTCTCTTCGTAGGTGATCGATGCTCATTTCAATTCTGACGGAAATGAATTCAATTACTTCCGATGACTTAGCTTAGTAATCCTTTGCTCATTAACTGGTATCTAACCAAAATATGCTTGCCTCTAAGAGAAAAAAATTGCAAAGTGTTTGATATATGTGAATGGAAAGAAGAGGATGGAATTATAGAAGTTTTACACAAATTTAAGATCAGAAATAGAAAGAGTAATTTTTATATGAACCGAAATCATATGTTGTTCGGATCACAGCACTTCTTCCTTCATTCCATTCCTTTCCTCGCATCCGTCGTCCTCCATGAGGATCTTTGGATTTTCGTGTAAGCTCGGCTGCTGTTTGAGTACTCTAATTTCCTTTATGAATTTAGTTCGGTGGTAATCAAATAGATTCCCTTGAAATCCTGTAATAACCGTCCTGGCGCATTGCGAAATCTTCATCACAAGCACTACCCATTCGTTAGTTGTCGGAGAGAACTTCGCAAACAAGTCCAGTACCAATTTAGCAATCATAGAGGGAGGGAAGGCGTGGTCGGTCCGGTGCGGCGTCGAACTAGGACCTTGCGCGAAATGAACGCCATCTGTGTCACTGCGCAGGACACGCCCCAAGACTAATACAGCATGGACAAAAAAAGCAAGATGCATATATAAATACACGTACATAGTACAGCAAAGTACCTGTTATAGCAGGAGGTATCCTTTAGTAATTTCAACCGTTCATTCTTAATACAATTTCTATTATCGAACCACAGAAACAGTGTTCTGCGTGACCTTCATGTCTTTGTGAATTAAAATCGTAATTTTTAGCCATCGTACCTAAATTTCGTCAGGGTTTTGTCTCGAGTTCTCCTTCTAAGAATTTCCGACTCGAATCAAAGGTTGATATTTTTTTTTGATATTTGATTTGTTGTTCTCCTGTCTGTCTATTTCTATCCATAAGTCATATTCTACATATGTTTCATATCTTCTATTACCTGGCATAGTTCTGGTGGGACTACTGCAAAATAGACTTCCGAAAGACGAACCATTGACAAGTGTGTTAACGTTAGATTATCCAAGTTTGTCGTGTTTATCACTTTGAAACCGTTTCTGATCAATGATGTCTCATTTAATTCTCCACTCTCTATATTTTCGCGGGTTTTGTTTTTGTATCTTAACTAGTTTTTATACAGATAAAGACCTATTTAGCCTAAATACGAACCATTTTTCATTTTGGACGTCTTGAAAGTTCCTCGTCGGATGTTCGACACGATCGAAGAGTGTTCTAATACGCCTTCAGTGGTTCTACTGCTTACGTTGAGAGCGAGGTGGGTTTTTGCATAAATGACGAGTAATTAGAGTAAGTAATAGTAAGAGTAACAGTAGAAAAGTGAAATATTTATCAGGAAGGAGTAAAGGACAGAGGGAAAGGGTAGCGGCAGGGTAGTAACGAGTAATGCAGGAAATCAGACCATCACCGCGATTAACATAAATGGTTTCAAAGGTATTTGGAGAATGAGAGCTAAGTATAACGCGATTTACGTCCTTTTACCCTAAATTGTCCTGAACGAATCTGTACGTAACGGTTCTACACCTGCTGCTAAAATAGTATCAAGGCAGTAGATAAATGCGTAAAAGTTACCAATCGTCGTAAAATCGATTAGATTGTTGGCCTATAGACGGTTAAGTAAAGTAATAAAACTGTTCAAATAGTGATCCATGTGAAATAGATCGATTTTCAGCAAACTTCATGATAAAGATGTTTTCTCGAAAAGCGATCCGATGTGCGTGGTATACCAATTCGTTGGACGGCTTACTGGTAAGAGCCGGTCTATACATTTTCTTTTCATTTTTCACGGTCCGTCTTTCCCATCTACTTTGCGGATCCTAGCACTTCCTGCATTCGATTCGTTTTCTCGCATCCATCATCCACGAAGGTGTTCTAACTTTTACGTATGACTTCGGCTGCTCCTTGAGGGTTTTCCTTTCATCTTAAATATCGTTGGATACTGGTCGAGTCGATGCGCCCTGAGATAGCTGGGCTTGAGCGTTCCCACTTGGATTACAGAGACTGATTTTTTGCCGGACAAGTTCGGTACCAACTTCCCGACCCCAGAGAGATGAGAAGCTAGGTGAGCCCAGAGCGGGATCCGACCAGCACGCCATGCTCTTGTTGATCAGCAGCAACACTACTGTGCTATCCGCTCCCTGGTATTTACATTTCAACTACAAACTTTCTGAAAAATCCAGCGATAGCTGCCCACACAACGTGCTGTATTGAATATGTTTGAAGTTCTTATGTAATATATTTTTTCTTTATCAATAGTATTTTTGCTGTCGTCTAAAATGTTGTTTTGATTTACAAAGTCGATTTCTGAAGATTCACGTTGATTCATTTGCATACAGTGATGCTTAGAACTTTTCAATCAAGGAGATGGTAAATGGAACGAGTGCGGTAGAACAGAGCAACTGCAGAACACATTGAATCCGGAATGGGCAACACAAATACGAATCCAGTACTTTTTTGAGGAAAAACAAACAATGAGATTTGAAATGTGAGTGTATGACGTCATACGGTGATCTTTTTAAACCTCTTCAATGTTAAATATCGTCAAAAATAAGAAAGTATAACAATGTGATAAAGTATACAATTTTATGATGAAGAAGAACTAAAGCGTGCTCCTACGTTTGTACTCAGTTTACAAATTCACTATGGCATTGAAAATGAACTTTTCTTTGAATGTGGACAATGACTTACAGTGGCTGGTCCAATTTATGCAGGACCAAACCGGTAGTGGATGCCCATACTGCAGTAATTGCTTCCGCTGCGTATTCCTTTTCGGTCCTCTGTGGTACGCACCATAAGTAGTAAGTTGTCTAAGGAAATAAAAATTTAAGACATGTGATTAAACACGGTTGGGCATAGTACTCACGAGAGAGAAGTATTGTATAATTAACTAGTTAACTATATTTAATCGTATTTCTCAGCAAAACTTCTTATATAACAAATACAAAGCTAAAAAAAATCCACCGACAAAAACCTGCGCATGGAGTCCGTTAAAATCAAACATTGTCATTTCGTTGTATTCGACTATAAACTCTTAACGTTACCACGTTTTCATAGTTGAACGGTGCATCTTCACGCTGACACCAATACCGCTTCATACCGCTGACACCACTAATGTTGTACTAGTTAGGCAAGGTTTCTTTCCACGAAATCCCGAAATGGTCGTGACCAAGCTTTCCCAGCTTGTTATTGGCTGCCAGTGTTTCTGGATTTTGCTTTCTTGCGGTTAGATTTCTTTAAGATGGCGACAATCCTTAAGAACAACCTCTTAGCTAAATTAAAATGCTCTATGTTGTATTCTTTCTGCAGCATTACATTATTTTAATCATTATTTTTATTATTGTTGAAATCACTATCGTTGTTGTCGTTATTATTGTTATTACCAATTATCTGATGGACATTTCAATAAAGCTGAGATATTGGCAAAACTCCGGACCGCAGGTGTCTGCGGTGGGGAACGAACGCGCTATTGTCCCTTCCGGGGAGTAACGCGTTCATCACAACACAATGCGGATCTTTCGTTTCGCCTGTCTCTCAGCTAGTTTTTGTATCTGACGGACAGTTGCTTTAACACGTTGACGAATGTGGTTCTGTCGACAAATACCGATGGTTTTTCACTCACTAGACTACTTCTGAGTTTTTCTTTCTACACTATCAAATTTTCTTTATTTTCATTATAATATTCTCCACTAAAGCTTCCTTTTGTAGGGTAATAAGAAATAGAAAAGTCTCCAACATTTTTAAAATGAATGGAGACCAAACAAAATTATGCTCTATATAACTCGTATGTAATGCTGAAATATTTGAAAAACTCCGGACCGCAGGTGCTTGCGGTGAGGAACGAGCGTGCTATTCTCCTTTTCGGGGAGTAGCGCACTTCACCACCACACCATCCGGGTCCTTCGTTTTGCCTGTCTCTCAGCTAGTTCTATTGATGTAAGAAAAAGGCAACAAATAAAAGGGTTGAGATTGTGATTAATAACTAAGCCTCAGCTTAACTGGGTTCAATGCCGATTTGGGCACCCCAGATCAATCCCGTTGACGGGTGATTGCTGATGGCAAAAGATCAATAGAACTAGCTGAGAGACAGGCAAAACGAAGGACCCGGATGGTGTGGTGGTGAAGTGCGCTACTCCCCGGAAAGGGCAATAGCGCGTTCGTTCCCCACCGCATACACCTGCGGTCCGGAGTTTTGCAAATATCTCAGCATTATATACGAGTTATATTTCGCAACATACCCTACCATTAAAAGGAAAAGGTAGTAAATAAAAGGGTTAAGATTATGCCCTATAGTTACGTTTATGTTCTTACGAACTGATGAACTGCCCTTGTTGAGCTGGTGCGAGATTGGTATAAGTTGTCGTCGTTGTTGTTGTCGCTGTTGGTCGATGGCTAATGTCTCTGCGACTTCGCCTTCCCCAAAGTTTCATACTTGGGTAGTTAAACCTAATGTGTAGTCATTTTCTAGCTGAATACATTGCAGCACTACCACTGTCTTTTTTTTCGCTCTTTTGAAGGATTGCTTTGCGTATTTACCACTTATACACTTTATTCAGGTGCTTCGGAAATTATACTTTAACTATTATATTTATGGAAATTTACAAGAAAAATGAAATTAAGATTGGATAATAATTTCGGAAGAATCTAGTATTTAGCAGAAAGTCTCTTTTTCAGTTACGATATTGATTCCACTTCAACTGATTTGTCAGCACATGATTTTCTTGGCCGTGTTGAATGTGATTTGGCTGAAATCGTCTCAAATCGACCGTTCAGAAAGTCTTTAAGGTTTGCTTGGTTGACAGTTTTCGAATTTTAGAAGGAACTCTGTAATCTTATTGAACATCCTTTTTTAGTAGCGAAGAAAGCTGAAATGCTAGAAAATGATAAAACCAAGAGATGAAATGCTTAACTCTTCCTATACTCTTTCTATTGCCTCAGTCATCTCGAGAAAAGCATAGAAGTATTGTGGACCTCTTCCTTTTGTGAAATACAACCAAAGTGATAATGAGATATTTGTAAAACTCAGATCTCAGGCCAAATTAATTGTGGTTGTTCAATTCATTTCACACAATACTCTGCCTTGAAAAATTAATGGACAGCGAATAAAAACTTATAAATCGCTCTCCATTTTGTTCGTTTCTAATCTTGCAGATCTAGAAGAAAAAATGATGGATTAGCAATATTCAGTTCGTTATAAAAAGAGAAGCGAATAAAACGGGACAACAGAAATATGAGAGAAAGCAGAGATTTAAGAGCGAACGTCCTTCTTACATTGCAGCGGACTGAAGAAAAATTGTGGCGAGCTGATTGTATGGAGCGATGAGATCAACGAAGGCTCTAAAGAGCGAGTGCTTTTTCAAATGAGGGCGAAAAAGCTGGACAGAAAGAGTTTTTTCAGAAAGTGTGATCCCTTCGTTCAACTTTATCGCACCTGCGACGATGGCAGGTAGGTCTTCTACGAGTTCCCGTGGTTTTCCGACAATTCGTTAGGAGGAAAAAAAGCATAAAATTTATCTAAACAGGGAGAAAGAGAATAGAATTAAAGTGTAGTTGATTTTCTCTAGTTTCGGCGGATTTTCTGAGATTTAAGAAATCGTTAAGAATTCATCTGTACTGTATTTTTTACACTTTAGAAGTGAGTTTTGAATTATTTTGAGCAAAAAGCTCATGGTTTTCTTCCTTATAAAATGATTATTAACATCGTAAAAATTGGAAATATGCATGAATTGAAGCATCATGAAGTAGAACGCTGATCTGTCTGTTGTTCGTGTAGAATTGTCCACTTTTAAGAGATTTCGAAATGGTTTTTGTTTTTCATTAAGAATATAATTGTATTTGTATTGTCATTTGTTCAACGCAAGAAGAAATCGACAGATGTTTCGAGTTGTTGAACACGCAGTCAGAGTATATTAAATTCACCCGAGAGAAACCAAAGGAAGACTGGCTTCCATTTCTGAACGTGCAAATTAGCCTATCAGAAAACGGCTACATTACGAAATGGTATCGAAAGCCAAGTAGTAAAAACATCCTAGTTCATTACCTCTCCTCTCATCCCTCTCACACGAGAAACAGGGCGCTTGTGAGAAACATGTGTCGAACAGCTACCAGCGTGTGCACAGGGAGACAACAGAGAGAGGAGTCCTGGAACTTGGTACGGCAAATAGCCATTTTTAATGGCTACGAAATCGTAGCTCGAGATAGGTGTAGACGAAACCACAGGTACCCCAACGATAACTCTAGCGACAACAAGGTTCCGTTTATACTGCCCTTCATTTCAAATGAAGTAAGTGCAGCTATAAAACGCTGTTTAAGAAGGGCCAGTCTAGAGAATTCGGTAACGATAATCGAAATACCACCGAGTAATCTAAGGCGCCAGCTAGTTTGCAACCGCCTATACGACCGTCTATGTGCAACGCAAAATTGCATAATATGCCCCAATGGTAGAGGCGGTGACTGCATGAGTTCGGGTACAGTCTATCTGATCTCTTGTGAAGCGTGCGGGGACGAATACGTTGGCGAAACAGATAGACCACTATGCGTACGTATAAAAGAACACCTGTCGGCAAACGTAAGCCAAGTACTCCACTAGGTACGCATAGCACGCAGAAACATAACGGAGAAGATTTTGAAGTAAGGGTTACGATCCTCGCGCAAGAATCGAGAACACAAGCGCGCAAAACTCTAGAGAGGCATTCTGGATTAATTCCAAGAATCCGAAAATTAACCGCAGGGAGGAATGCCTCGTTATCACGCGTGATATTGGACAGTATATAAGCCTGTTATTTTGATGGGAGGGGCACATTACGCTTCCATGTGAATTCTGTGCGGTCGGTCTTCACGCGACATACTCAGTGGAAGACTCATAGAAAGCGGCGAGTGTGCAGAGCTATGCTAAATGTGACTGAAATCTTGGTTTAGCGTTTTCTCTGTTTGGTTATGGAGGTGTTTGGCCGAATGGATTGCTGTCAACTTGATCCTTCCAGGTTGTGAAGAAGGCGAAATCCGCCGAAACGTCAGCTTGTGCGTAAATAAAGAAATAAAATAGCACCTCGTGTTTGCTGAACAGAAGTAGAAAGATAATTGTATTTATTCATTTCTACGGTAACTCATTTGTTCGAAGCATTGGAGGTTGAAAAGAAAAGTGTGAAAAATATTGCCCCTCCTCCTCCTCCCCCTCTCTCCCTCCTTCCCCTGTTCCATCCTAAACAGTCTTATTTTTATTCAATACGTTGGCGATTCCTTTATTGGGAGAAATCCAAGGATAAACTATTGATGGAAAAATATTCAAAACTATTCCTTCTCACCAGAAACAGTGGTGTTTTTGCTCACTTTTTTGATACATACTTCATTTAGAAAATCTTAACGACTTCTTTATTATTTGGAGATTTTTAAAAATATTCTTACCTAAACGAAACTGTTTTATACAGCCGTCTTCTGGCGCATCGTACTGAGACTGTTACGAGGCAATTGAATCCGACGTGGAAGCCGTTCGAGGTGAACGCCAAACTTCTCTGCTACGGTGATCGGTCAAAGTATGTTCCGTTCTTATAGTTCTCCTTATCCGATTTTCTAACAGGGATATGTTTTTGTTGAAGTGTTTCATAGCCCGTCTTCATATGTGTTGTGGGAATCCCAGCACTTCTTAAATTCGATTCGTTGCTCGCATTCATCATCAATGAAGGTCCTTGAACTTTTTGCGTGTGGGTTCGCCTGCTGCTTGAGGAATTCCTCGTTTTCTTCATTATTGTCTTCAAATGCTGGTCAAGTCGATTGTCACTGGAATTCTACGTTAGCCGTCCCAGGTGGTCTGGTCGGAGTGAGTTTTTCCCAGACAAGTATGGTACCCATTTCTTGAAGCCGGTGGCATGGTAAGCTAAGGTAAGCTTGGTGAGTTCAATTCGGAGTTCAAGCAGCAACTGGGTAGGTTGGGTTATCTGCGCAATAAATGGCATCAATACGAAGGTGCTAACTGCCTTCTTTCTTGGATATATAGATAAAGTATGCAATGAAGTATGTCATAAACAATTATCATCCTTTTTTATACATCTTTCATTTGCGTACCTTATTTATTTTGTATTTCCTATTACTAGTAGCGGGTAGCGAATTGTGGAGTGATAGAAATGCTGTATGGTAGTTTACGTATAGTTAACAGTTCGACTAAACAGGCCATCTCTTGGGATATACACCATATATGAAGATGGATCATGTAAAAAGGGAAGAAAAACTTTCGTATTTTTGCTTCGTGTTCTATATTTACCAATATTAGACCGGTTGAAATTGAACGGTTTTTTTTCCTTCGATGTAAATAAAAGAATGAAGCTCTCAGCGTTCATCAATCCTGAAGGAATGCGCCATGCATTCGACTTTATTAAGTATCGTTTGGAAGTGATTAAATGCTTATTTGGTCTTTATAATGACTCGTGGTGGCCTGCCATCGGGCCATTGCACGTGGGGTTCGACCCCATGTGTGTGTTGCAGGACACCTCCGACCACTGAAGCACACGCGCATTTTCTTCACTATACCTATCATTAATGTGTACTATTTCACTCGTAGTAATGCTATTGGACTACATTACGAGTCACTCAATCTCTGATAGTTCTAAGCACTTGTAATTCCAAACAGTTAACACATTTGAGGTTTTATTAAGAACAATGATAATGACAAGGAAATTGGATTAAAATAAAGTATTTTGACGTTCATGTTTAGATCTTACTTACGGGAAACTTGGGTGGCCCGTCTTCACAGGTTGTGCGGGTCCCACCATAATCTCCATTTTTGGGAAATTTGCTGGTTGAGCCGTTGTGGTTTCCTGGAATCCCGAGATCAGCCTGGACAAAGTCTGCCCCAGGTCTTCACCATCACAGGCAGTCGCAGCCCTTGTGGATCAGAGAGAGATTTACTACCATGCGACTTTGATACCAGGACGGTGGTGGATCCTGGTATTGGTTTAGTTTTAGCTAGGCTTCCTGATGGAAACGCCGGACTCCTCAGCCTGGAAGACTGCCAGGGGATGAATCCACACCGTACATCGCAGTCCGTCACCCAGGAACACCTCTCAGCCACAATGAGGCGGTAAACTGTTAGGAGGTCATGTTTAGATTAGTACTTAAAAAGTAATTTTAATGCTAATTCTTTAGCATTTGCAGTATGAATAATTTCAGGCCAATCGTGTTCGAATGTTTTGACTATCGTCGTAATGGCAGGTAAATGCCGTTAATTATTCAATTTTCATTTTTCTCTGAAGGTCACAAGATGTGTATGTGATGTAGTCGGAGAATTTCTGGACAGAACGTTTTGCTTTGTTTTATGTGTTTGTTTCGAATTCTAGTGCGCTTTAGTTTTAAGCCACAATCTAATCGGAAGCTGTCAGCTGAACCTGGATGATTTGTTATCGAATGACGTCACATCAAAGCCGGTGAGTACTTAAGAATTAATAGAAGTGCGAAATTACATGGACGTTACAACTGCATTATTGAAAACCTAAGTGTCAACTGTTAGGAATCGCAGTACTTGTAAAAGTGAGCTATGAAGGTCGTAGAGAGTACACGCTGTCATATTCATAGGTGATAAGGATTCATGCTTGACACTTTATACTTTAATGAACCGTCTTCAAAAGGAATCGTGAGGGCTCCAGCACTTCTTTCATTGGGATCGTTGCCTCCCGAACGTCATCTTTGAAGTTTGTATGATCCATATGTATGTAGGTTCGGCTGCAAATTGTGGATCGTCTTCCCCCATTAACAGATAGCCATGCTGGGGCTTTTCTAGTTTTTCACTGCGGCCATTGGTCTCCCTTTGTGAATCCGAGGATGTTTGCTACCCCAGTACCACTGGAAAAGTAGCACAATAGCACGCGCTGCTCTTTGTCTACAAGGATTTTAAAGAGAGATATCACAAGTCAGTGTTTCAACAATAATAATTTAGAACCACAATGATGCTGAGATATTTGCAGAACTTGGACCTCAGCTCAGATTCGGACCCGCGACCACACTTTCCGGTGCGTATGTGTTACCCACTGCACCATTAAGACCCCCGTTCTGTCCCTCTTGAACAGTAGTTCAAACAGCTCCATACTGCGTATTTGCTTTTTGCAAGATACATTACATATTTTATTGAATCGGTGAGGGTTACGGTAATAGCCTGTTGCGCGCACTAACATCAGCACGCTGGTGCCCTCCAGTACACTAACTTTTATCATTCAATTTGTTCCTTACGTATATTTTTTCATTTGACTATTTAGCTGGTCAACGAGAAAAAACGTGAGAAAAAGGGCAATAAGTACAAGAATTCTGGAACACTTGAATTTGATGGTGTACAATTATTGAAGCACTACTCATTTCTGGATTTCATTGCTGGAGGGTGAGTTCTTCGAGGATTTTACAACTATGCGATGTATTTTTTTATTGATTGAAGTTATCTTACGCTTTATGCCAAAACACCTAATACAAAACCTGGTTGCCCATAGTACCAAGTAAGCAAAAAATTTGGGTTTTCTTCTCAATCGCGTGCTATTGATCAGATTAGTTTGCGGCATTTCTGATGAGCTGACACAATGTCGTTAAGATAACCTTTATTTCGTAATCGCTAACGTTTCGGCAGATTTCTTTTTTCTGGAACCTTTTCTTCTTGTTTCCAACATTTTGAAATATAGGATAACCCACAACAATTTCATGAAAGATAGCGAATGTGTATTTTTTGCATGGGATTTGGAGTCGTCGTGAAATGAACGTCGCATTAATTATGTCGTTTCATCGGGAACACAGTAATTCACTGAGCAAAAGCAAAATTAAGTCAGAAAACTGCGACGTATCCAATCCTAGGTGATATAGATGAGATGGCTTGTAGCTTGCTCAATGGTTAGGGGTACCACACGTGGTCGTTGCCTTAATCCCTCGCCCTGGACAACGAAGCCTCCATCTCTTCAGTCGGGTCGGCAAGGTGGTATCAGTCTTGTGAGGGTGGATTAAAACACTGACTTCATATAAATCGGTCTCGGACATACGCTTCTGCAAATTTTGGTGTAGGATAAATATCTATTCATTCGTCCATAAGATGGTTAAAGGAGTCAAATGCATGGCGTATCGCTAAGTGATTGATCAGCGACGAACGCTTTATCCTTAATTTTTTAGTTGACACTGAAATGCTTACGGTTAACCACAAATCGAAGCAAAGGCTCGAATAGAATCAAGCATATGATCGTTCTGTTTCGGTAACATCTCTTTTTGCAGAACTCAGCTCGACTTTGCTGTGGCGGTTGACTTTACGGCATCGAACGGTGCCGTCCATAAGCCAACCTCTCTTCACTATATTAATCCAACACAGCCCAATCAATACGAAATAGCTATCAGGTTTCTGCAATTTTCCAACCTTCGTTGAGTCTAATTTTCACTCATCTGTCTACGGTTGGATCCACGTTACATCCTTAGTAATAAAATAATGTCATGGATAATAGTGTCATTACTATTACAATATACCAAAATAGTATTGTTGAAAGTAAAACCTCTTTTTTCATACCTTAGTCCTGTTCTGATCTTTGCGGAACACTTGCAAATTGTTTAAAAAAGTGGTGGTGTAGCAAAGTTGTCTTAGTGATTAGCTTCGATTTTTCCCATTTCCATTACAGATTTTGCTACAGGTGGAATAAAAAATATCTTATTTGTTGAGAAAAAGGCGACCAATTGCTAGGAATTGCATTTCTTTTCTTTTCGAGTTTGAATGTCAAACTTCAAGAAGTACTGGAGAATACAATAGATGGGAGCTGTTATGTATCACAGTGATGCTGATATCTTTGCAAAACTATGGCCTCAGGCCAGATTCGAACCGGCAATTACACATTCCGGAGGCGCACATGTTACCCACCTCACCGTTGAGGCGTTCGACTTGCCTTCCCCTCAGCCAGTCTTCTACTTTAGAAATGGTATCAACAAGGTATAAAAAGAATTAGTGTAGTCTTTGTTGACTGTACCATCAGGATAAAGAAAAACTCGGAGAAAGACAAATCAAGTGCCTCAGTGGTGCAGTGGACAAAACACGAGCCGTCGGAAAGGATAATCGCGCGTTCGAATCTGGCCTGGGGTGCAAGTTTTGCAAACATTTCAGCATCATTGTGGCTGCATGTCGCATTATACCTTGTCGTAAAAAAAATAACTACCTGTAAATGAAAGTTAAGCATTGTTATGTGTCGCTTTTATTTCTCAGTGCCACATGCAAATTTGTCTGTTGTCTCACTATAAGCTGTCAATTGTGCCTATCACTTGATTGTAATTCTCTGTCTGTGTTATTTTACCTCTCCCAACGCTTTACCGCCTCATCGTCGCTGGGAGGAGTTCCTGGGTGTCGGACTGCGACGTACAGCGTGGGGATTCGTCCATCCGGCAGGGTCTCCCAAGCTAAAGAGTCCGGCGTTTCCATCAGGAAGCCTAGCTAAGAGTAAACCAATACCAGGATCCACCACCGTCGTGGTATCAAAATCTCCCTCTGATTCACAAGGACTGCGACTGCCTGTTTTGGTGACGACCTTTGGCAGACGTTGGCCAAGCTGTTCTCGGGATTCCAGGGGACCACAATGGCTTAACCAGCAAATCTCCGAAAATTGGTTATGCTGGGGCCCGCACAACTAGTGAGGACGGGCCGTTCAAGTATTAGGTAAGTAAGTATCTGTGTTGTTCCTTACGAAATCGTTTGGGTTTGAAGCCTAGGAAGCTCACGGATATCAATTTTCGTTTAGTTATGTTTTAATTTGTCCGTTAAACTGGTCACTTATTTACGCCAGATTTTTATACATTGATTTTAGAGGTAGAAGAGTTGTTCCTATTTCATGACTATATGAAAATAGAAGCAAAAACAGCTGCTTATCCCAATACCAACGTAGTTTAAGTTTCCATTCATTTTTTTTACTCGAAGAATTTCCTTCAGAGCTGTAATTGATATCTGTCAGCACTACAACAACAGCAAGCTTTTCGATGCTTTTGGTTTTGGAGCGATTTTACCTCCAGATACTTGTGTTTCACCAGTGTTCTCCCTAGTGAGTTAAAAAGAACTGACTGCTTTCTGTGAGCTTTATTTACTTAGAAAAAATAAGCGTACAGAATTTTGACGCGAATCCAGCCGTTGTTGGACTTCTCGGCTTGCTGGAAGCATACCGCTTCGCGCTCAACCGCGTGAAACTCTACGGTCCAACGAATTTCGCCCCGGTTATCCGTGAAATCGCGAAGAAAGCGTCGGGTTTGCCGAGTAATGGATCGAGATATCAGGTAGAAATTGATTCGAAGGCTGGACACATGGTGAATTTTTGCTAGATTTAGGTTCTGTTGATCATAACCGATGGAGCCATCTCTGACATGGCGGCCACAAAAGCTGCTATTATTGCAGTGAGTAAAAGTACATATTCCATTTTTTCGATTGGAAGTGGGCTGTATAATTTGTATCAAATGTAATTCCGATAACCATGTGGTCTGCTTCGAACATGGTGACGTCCGCAATGAATTACATAGCAATAACAATATAGAGATTAAGAAGTTGATGGCAGTTACATTAAAATTAAAGGATAATTTCGATATGTTGATGATGCAGCACTATGAATAAAGCTAAAGAGCTTTCGGCGTTGATCAATCCTTGGGGGATGCGCCATGCATTCGACTTCATTAAGCATTGTTGGGGGTGATTGAATGCATATCTGGCCTTTACATTGATTCGCGGTGGTCTGCCGATTTGTCGAGCCAGTGCTGCTATCCTCCCAGACGTCTGGTTCCAATTCGCCGACCCCGGAGGGATGGAAGGCTTGGTGGGCAATGGGCGCGGGGATCGATTCCGCGTGTGTGTCGCAGTGGCACCTACAACCACTGCGCCACACGCGCCTCTAAGGCTATGAATAGCTGAGTTAAAGTTAAGTCTTTTGCAGCTAGTGTTTTACTTGGGAGCTGCTAGCAGCCAAACGCATTGCAAAGTTCTTTACAACTAGCTGCAGAGCAGCTACATGAACTGGTCAATAGGAAGCAATTTACAAATGGTTAAAAGTGGAGGGAAGCTGCGTAACAAATTGGCGAATGTTCTCCAAATGTTCTCTGTTTTATGGAGATTATTGGTTGTACTTTAACCGGAATAAAGAGAATGATTGCTGACTCTATTCGCAGACGTGTCGTTCAAATGCCGCAGCTGTTTCCCTGTTGTCGACAGCCTTGTTCTTATTTATTAGGTTGTTCAGAAATAAACGAGTATTTTAAAATATTTATTCTTTCGATATATTTTTTGCCAATAAAAGATTCCTTCCTTAGAGTGGGTGTGGCACAGTGGTTGGAGACCCCACTGCGACTCACTTGAAATCGTTCCCCACGCCTATGGCCTACGAAGCCTTCTATCCCTCCGGGGTCGGCAAATTGGTACCAGACTTGTCTAGGAGGATATTAGCACTGGCTCGATCGGTAGGCAACCAAGAGTCATTGTAAAGACCAGATATGCACACAATCACCTTAAACGACGCTTAATGAAGTTGAGAGTATGGCGCATCCCTCAAGGATTGATCAACGCCGAGTGTTTTATCCTTATTTATAGATGTTCCGTATATTTCTTTTTTATTTTATAAAATATTGCTTGCACGTTGTAGTAAAATATGTTATTAGGAAGCTGGTTTTATGCCCTTTCTAACCATGTCTTTATATTTTGCCAAAATTTGAATTTTTTTGCTGATTTTGAACTTTGCAATTTTAGATGTCAAAGACGAAAATTTTCGTCAAATTTTGTTTTATGGGTTGAAACTCGGTCGTAGTGCAGCAGAGACGACTCGAAACATTAGTGAAGTTTGGGGCGAAGGTAGTATTGGTGAATCAAATTGCGAGCATGGTTCCGGAAATTCCGATCTGGTGATTTCGACCTCGAAGATGAGTAAGGCCGAGGACGTCCCAGTGAACTTAACAACGACGAATTTAAGGCACTAGTGGAAGCAAACACGCGAAAAATTGTTTGATAGCTTATAGAACAGCTTGGCATAGGCATAGGAACAATTTCCACTCAATTGAATCGCATAGGAAAGACAAAAAAACTCGACAAATGGCTGCTGCATGAATTAAAAGGTAGTCAAAGAAGTCGCTGTTTTGAAGCATCGACTGCTCTTACTCTACGCAACAAAAACGGCCCTTTTTCATCGAATTGTGACGCGCGGCGAGAAGTCAATTCTGTATGACAACCGGCGACGTTCAGCTCAATGGTTGGATTGCGATCACTCTCCACAGCTCTTCCCAAAGTTGAAATTGCATCGAAAAAAGGTTATGGTGACTGTTTGGTGGTCTGCAGCCGGTCTTTTTCATCGCTGTTTTTTGAATCCTAATGAAACGATTACGGCAGAAAAGTGTTGTCAACAAATCAACAAAATGCACCCTAAACTCCAACAACAACGACCGGCATTAATCGACAGAAAAGAAACTAGCCTTCTCCCGACAACGCCCGGTTTCACGTTGCGGAACCAGCTCTGCAGAAGTTGAACAAGTTGGATTGCGAAATTTCCGTCATCCGCCATATACACCAGACCTCTCGCCTACCGGCTATCACTTCTTCAAGCATCTTGAGAACTTCCTGCGCGAGAAATGCTTTAAGTTTTGTTTGAAGCAAGTTATGACATTTTTAATAATATGGTTAGAAACGCTCATTTATTTCTGAACATCCTAATACGATGACGAGGACACAGGTTGTTTTGATTCTGCAGGCATCGTGAAGATGGGTAGAAAGCCTCCTTTACGTGTGAAAGATTAGCAGGAGAATTATTCGTACCAATTATAGTATTAAGGTAAATATGAGCGAATAGTGTATTACGGAGATGGGTAGGAACATCTTAGTGCGAATATTACGGCGAAATTAGTTCGAATATTAAAGAGGAAGATTGCGGTTGATATAAACTTTTGAATTCTATCAGAAATATCTCTGAAGGATTGACTACTCGACGGTTCTTTAATTTTTAGGCGTCCTCTTTACCGCTGTCAATCATTATCGTTGGAGTGGGCGACGATGAATTCGAGAACATGCATGAGCTGGATTCCGACGATCGGGCGCTTTCCCATGCCGGCCATATCGCTCAGAGGGATATTGTTCAGGTAGGAACTTCTTAGTTATTGCCATATTTTCAAAAATTTCACTTTTAGTTTGCATGGAATGTTTTTTTCGCTTTCAAAAATAAAAAACCGCTTCTGCTCTATGTGGAATTCTTGGACCTTTAACACACAGCTTCGAATACTTAAAGTGCACAACGCATTTACTTAGGAAAAAATTTAACGCTACTTTGAGCTTCAAAGCAATTTCATCTTTGCTCCTAATGAACTTCATTAGTTGGGATAAAAACCATTAGATTCTATAGCCACTGATCTCCCTCATATGAGGGATCTCGAGCCGATTAGTCGCGAGGCTACGTGGCGCGTCCCCAGGTGGCGGATAGGGGATTAATCGCGGACCAAAAGCGACCTTTGCTTGGCTGAGACGCAGGTGGCTCCAGGAGATGGACACCCTGTTTCTGCTGCGCTGATTTGGCACATACTTTCTGTATTTGCTAGGCATATTCATGCATGTGTGTGTGGGTGCGTTCTTGCTTATGCGGATTGTATTCGGCCAAAAGCCTGCAATCAAGTGACTGGGAAGTATATGGGAGGCAGTTAGGACTCGCCTCCAGCAAATAAGCTCCATGTCCACTCAGGGAGAGCCTGCCAAGCTACCCGTGAGTATATGCAGCCCCCACATTCAGAGCCCAGCAAGCTATACGCGGGCATCAAAAATGCTAAACACACTAAAAAAAACAGACCTCATTATGTATTCTTTCTTTGATGAGCTTGCACGAGGTTGATAATGATGTTTATTTTCGGCTAACGTTTCGACGTCTTCGTCTTCCTCAGAGCCGATGATCCGAGTCGATGGTCCTCGCTTGCTATTAAGAGGAAGACGAAGACGTCGAAACGTTAGCCGAAAATAAACATCATTATCAACCTCGTGTAAGCTCATCAAAGAAAGAATACATATTGATTAGTGATACTGAGGTTCATGGAAAGTCGGTTTTGAAATACAGACCTCATTCCTTGGACTCCGAAACGGCCCTCCATTTCGCAGCGTTGGGTAGGACGAGTACGGAGAGGCTGCTGAAGTCTCAGGGCCAATGGAAACTGCCTGGATTACAAAAACTTTGGTGACGATCTGTACCTACATTGCACGTGTACTTGCATCCGAGTCCTCGATTGAAGACTTTCTCATTCAAGCAGGTAGGATAAAGTGCGACGTCATCGGCCTGGCCGAAACGAGAAGACGCCACCCTTTCAACGCCATCTATGACACCGGAGAGGAACTGTTCCTCGGAACATGCGACAGTAGAGGAGTCGGCGGCGTTTGCGTTCTCGTCAACACGAGTTTGTCCATGAACATCGATTCATTCGAACAACCTACAACCCGAATCGGACGTTTATAATTAAAAAGACGTGGGTCAATTCCGGCTTTGACAATCTTCGTCGTTTACGCTCCTACATCAAACTATGACGAAGAAGAAGTCGAAGCGTTCTATATGGGCTTGGAAAAGTTTTACAGAGAAGACCACACATTTTTCAAGGTCATCATTGGAGATTTCAACGCCAAGATTGGACCAAGAAGAACGTCACATTGGGACCCATGGATTAGAATGGAACGAACAGGGTGAGCGGCTGTCTGAGTTTATCATGGCGACCAATACGATACATGGTAACTCGCAATGTCAGAAGCCCAGCCCGCAGCGGTGGACGTGGGAGTCTCCCAATGGAGAGTACCACAACGAAATAGACCATATCATAGTAAATAGAACGTTTTGCCTAACCGATGTCGCTGTTGTCCCAAAATTCTACACGGCATCAGATCATCGTCTCCTTCGTGCAATATTCTATTTCTCGCGGAAAGGAGAAAAAGCTGTTAAATTCCAAAACCGAAGTTCCAGGACCACCGTAAACTGGGATTTATTCATTAGTCGGCTGTTAGTAAGATGCCGTTGTCGATAACATCGACGGAGAATACGATCGGCTCATTCAACATCTTCACGCTAGCGCTATGAATGCTCAGAGTTCGAAGGTCACCAAGAGACGTCTGGCTCCAAAAGCACATGAGCTGGTACGCCAGCGTGAAATCTCGCAAACTGCAACAACTGCTAACTTATATCCTAACTTGGAAAACAATGCGGAGAGTTCTCAAGAGAAGATCTTAAGTAGAGAAGAGTGCTGGTTATGGTCGAAGCTACAGAGGCTGGGAAAAGCAATCGCAAAGCCCACCGAAGCTTCACCAATCGCAAGACGAAAATGATTGCATTCCGGTTCCCAGACAGAACAGTTACAGCTTCCAGAAAGACAATGGAGAAAATCATTCACGAATACTACTCGGATCTCTTCGATAGCCACGTCCACCTTCCGTCATATGAAATAAAGGAGGATGGATATTTTGTGCCACCGGTTCTCCCTTCCGAAATCCGACTTGCCATTTCATCGGAGAAAAATCAAACAGCACCAGGTCCAGACAGGATAAGACCAGAATACCTGAAGAACCTTCCACCGGTCCTGATAAACACACTGGCTCGGCCCTTCACACGCTACCTGTTTTTATGCAAGGTCCCTACTCAGTGGAAAAAGAGCAAGACCGTGTTATTTTTCAAGAAGGGTGACCTGCACGATATCGGCAACTATCGCCCAATCTGTTTACTCTCTGTCGCCTACAAACTTTTCACTCGAGTCATCCTAAACAGGATTGACAGAACACTAGACGAAGGACAGCCACGTGAGCAAGCAGGCTTTCGAAGAGGATTAGTACGGTGGACCACACCCACACGGTAACACGGCTCACTGAAGTATCGCGGGAGTACAAAAGACCGCTCTGTCTCACTTTCATCGATTTACAGAAGGCCTTTGATTCAGATGAGATGGAAGCAGTCTGGGAAGCCCTTGATAGTGAAGGAGTCCCTACGCAGTACATAAAGATTCTTCGTTAGCTGTTCAAAAATTTCACAGCGAAAATATCACCATTCTACAACGATATTGACATTGACGTCAAAACAGGAGTTAAATAAGGCGATACCATTTCGCCAAAATTATTTACCGCCACTTTCCAGAACGTTATGCGGACATTTTAATGGAATAATATGGGAGTAAAAGTCGATGGTCGGCAGTTACATCATCTTCGCTTGGCTGATGACATCGTCCTTATAACACCAAGCATTAGTCATGCGGAACGTATTCTTGACGACTTTGATAAAGCCTGTGGAATAATTGGTCTTCGACTAAATCTCACAAAAGCAATGTTCATGAAGAGCGGATTGGTTTCGCATACCCCATTCACGCTCAACGGAACGAATTTCTCCGAATGCTCTAGTTGTGTCTGTCCACGTCGGGAAATCATTGTGATGAACGACCTAGCTCCAGATCTGAGCAGAAGGAAACGAGCAGTTTGGGGAGCTTTCATGAGCATCGAGGATGTAGTGAAGATGACAAAGAACACCCGACTCCATGCTCACCTTTTCGACTCAACGGTACTTTCTGCCCTAACGTATTCGTCAGAAACCTGGTGGCTGCGTAAGCAGAATGAAAGGTCATTCAGCGTTATCGAAGGCACAGTCGAAAGGGCGTTGCTAGGAGTATCCCGTTCCACGCAAGTAAGGGATAGGATCCGAAGCTCCGATCTGCGTTAACGATCAAAAATCGAAGATGCCGTTCTGTACGCCAAACAGTCAAAGATAAAGTGGGCCAGACACGTAATGTGTATGAATGACAGCCGATATTGTAGTTATGAAATTTTTATACAACTCACGAAGAATCTTTATGCGGAGTAGGGACGAGTGTTCTATAACTGCTTCTATCTCAACCGAGTCTAAAGCTTTCTCCCGACCCCTCTTTTGCCGCGTGTTCTGAGGAACAGTTCTCCGGTGTCATAGACGACGGTGAATTGTTGGCTGTTTTCATTTCAGCCAGTTCAATGACGTTGTACCTTATCGTTCTTGCCTGCATGATCAAGTCCTCTATCAAGGACGCGGATGCGCATGTGTGTGCGTTATACGTACAGATTGTCACCTCAATCCTTTGCAGTTTAGACAGCCTGGAATGTCACTGAAATTCTACCAGACCATCCGTACTGGGCCTACTCAAAGCTACCGTATAGTTTCAGGATCAGGGGAAATGAAGCGAACTTATTTTACGCCGTTCAGAGGTTGATACCTACGTATAGCTTACTGACCTCTGAACGTGAGGCCTCGGTATAGTCACGAGTAGCTTGCCAGTATCTTCTAGAGTATACGGAGGGCTTATTTATTGGAAGCGATTTCTAACTTCCTGTTACTAAATAGTTCCCTGTCACTCCGCTTAATTTCAGGATTTTGGCGCCAAACTAACTGGTAGAATACAATACGCATAGACGAGAACGTACCCACGCACGCATACGCACAGCAGAAACAGGAAGTCCATCCCCTGCATCCACCTGCATCTCAGGGAAGCAAAGATCTCATTTGATCCGCGATTAACCACCTACCCGTCATCTGGCTACGTGCCACGTTACCATGCGACTAATCGGCAAAAGGTCTCTCAATGAAGGAGATTCTCATATCCCTAGCAAATGAAGAGCCGACCGAAGACTGTAAGGTGTTTGTTGAAACAGGCCGAACTTATCTCAGTTTCTCGAACAAGAACTTGGAACTGCTTCCCTATCACCACTAAAGAGTTGGTCGAAAAGAGAAGGAAACTGAAAGTTGATTCCACTGCAGCACACCTGGTATGGGTGATAATCGGTGTTGGTTGTAGAAGATCTTCTCAAGTGGATTTACGTCGGGTCAGGTAGAAATTTATTGTAAGCAGCTCAGAAATGACTTAGTCTGAAAAAGTGCCATAGGCATCATTGCGATTATAATATTCCGCTATCCGCCCTGCTGAACGAAGATGGAACTATCATTACATCTCGCCATGATATGGTATTGACAATGGTAAAGTTCTGTGCTAATCTTTTTTGCTCCAGAATCGCCGTATCAGATCCCGGGAATACCTCGTGGTGAAGATCCCCTCCGGATTCTAGTCTCTGAACTTCGGGTCGCGAAAGAAAGCATTAAGATAGGCACAACTCCGAGGCCCAACAATAGCACCACCTACTTCATTAGAAGTGGAGGCCACAAATTACATGCACATTCAACCTTTTGCGCATATCATAGATTTTGGATAGAGCACAACCAGTTGAACAAGTAATATTACGACAAAGATTCTGTTGCATAGACCACATCCATGTCGTGTCACAGGTCATGGAAGTATGTCGACAATACCATCTGCTCTTGTCCTAACCTTTATTGACTGCGAAAAAGCGTTTGACATCGTCGACATGAATATACTTCTATCAGTGCCTGTCGACTAAAGTGTGGACCCGTCCCATCTACAAACACTGGCAGACTGTTATCGTAACTGCAGCACAAATATGCAGCTTGGACTCCTTACCATATCCATAGGAATAGGAGTTCAACAAGACGACAGAATATCTCCAAAGCTACTCTTAATGCCGTATGACATTGGAAAATGAAGCCATTCCATTGAGAAAACAAAAGCATATATTTTCATGGAAAATTCCTATCAAATTTTCGTTTTGCTGGCGAAATCGTTATCTTTTTGAGAAGTATCAGCAAAGCAGATGCTGTGCTAAATGAACTCAACGAAGCGGAAAAAAGGTTGGACGACGTAAAAGTAGAACGAAGACACAGTTCGTGAAGAACTTATGCTGCGAAGGCAAACAAATCAAGCTGGATGACTTTCTGAGAGGCCACCTCGCACGTGTACTTAAGTCTTTCAGTAAACAGGGAGAACAAGATAAAAGAGAAATTAGACAGAAGTAGAGTACTATGTGCGGGTATTCGGATTTCTGGTAGAAGCCAGCGGCCAGCAGCCCACCCGAAACGCTACTCTTATCTTCACAACTTAACAGTGCTCCCATCACTCTATCTTAAGCAGAAGCGTGTGCTCATACTCTGTCTTAAGCAGAAACATGTGCTTCAACCACATCAAGAACTCTGAGAATCACCCACAGAACGGTTGAACGATATTTTTTATTATTTCGCGGGCGTTCACAACGTTTAACAGAAATTCGCAGTTCACATTGTCGAAATCTATCATCTTGGGGATCCAGGAGGACATATATCGATAGCGAACACATATGGGCCGGTCATGTAATAACAACAGTTGACAAATGGATGAAAACAACAATGTAGTGCACTCCAACAGAATGCAAGCGTCCTCTTGGGCGACAACGCGAACGATAGACGGATTTGTTCGTGGTTAACGTCAATCATCTGTATTCGCTGAGAAGAACGATTTTAAGAATTCAGAATGTGCTTCACAGATGTGGTAATATTAGAAGCAGACTACCACAATGAACGTCGACTGCACGAGAGAGAAACGAATGGAAATTGTGTTGGGGTGCGTTCTATTAGTGAAGATGGGCCATTCAAGTATCCAACAACTCTCTGTGTCTATCCATCTACAACGCCCTATAATATTAGTAGTTACCATTGGCATTGGATTATTGTTATAATATTACATTATTATTGCTGCTTATTGATTAGGAGTTTTTCGAAAATTTTAACTAGTATTTTAATAGGGGAATGGATCGAATGAAAAAAAGTATGTTGAGACAAGTTTGGTGTTTAGTTTGTTCCACTACGAGAAATACTTCCGGACGATTGTACGGGCGCTGAAAGCGAGCGGGTGATGGGGTTGTTGGCAAGAGAGGTGCTGGCTGAGATTCCCAAGCAGCTGACATCATATATGAAGAAAAAGAACATCACCCCACGTCCTCCTGATGATCCTTTCCCAAAGGATGCTGAAGCAGGTCGAGAATCAATACTTCTAAAAGTTTAATTTATCTTATTCGATAAGTTGCGATAAATTCTACCATACAATTGCACAATAAGAATTACTTAGTATTAAAATGTTTTGCTAGGATTAAAATAGACTATCAAGTGGTGAGGAGATTGCTAGCGGTCCTGCTCATCTTGCCTAGGTAGCTTACGGTATCTTATTCTTCAGCATCTTTATTATTTGTTTTGAAAGTTCTGTAATTCCCATTTGTTTACTTATAAGAAGCGACTTTTCGTGCCCATCTCTTCACTTCTTTCATTCCGTTTATTGTCTTGCGTCTGTCGTTCATACTGTCTTCAGGTTTATGTCACTGGATGTTGGTAGAGTTGATTCCGTCTGAAATTCTGGGCTAACTGGCTGAGTTAGGACGTTTTCATGCTTTCATTACAGGCACTTTCCAACCTTTTTGGATCGCAGGGAACTTTCCCAAAGAAGTCTGGTACTAATTTACCAACTCCGAAAGGACGTGGGCATTATTGCTCAGTGTAGGATCGAACCAGAGAGCATGAATGTATTGTACGGCGTCTATAACCACTACGCTTCGCACACTTTGTAAGACTTCTAAATCCATTAAAATAGCAAAAATGCTTTCCTTTCTTGGGTCAGCTGTGCAACAGCGGAGGCTTCACTTCGTTTTTCCTTAGGTACTTAGACGTCCGGTCCACTCTTGTTGTGATAATCCAAGCACTTCTTTCATTTCATTGTTTGGTTCGTCTGCGACTTTTTCAAAGTTAGCGGGCGATGATTCTGGCGTTTAGAGGACGGACAGACCAAATTTGATGAAAACAAGGCTTCATACTATTAAATTCAGAGCATTCAGCTGAAACTGTTTCTTGAAAGATGACAGCACTTGTCCATCAACGATTTATCGCCTCGCCATGGCTGGATAGTGTTCCCGGTTGTTGAACTGTGATATCAACCGCGAGTTCGTCTTAGAAGAATCGCTGATGTTAGGAAGGAATTCGACATTTATATCTGAATGCCCAAGTTGGTATAAACTAGTGTCAATTTTACTATCTTAGAACACTAATGAACCAGTGACAACCCTTTTTCTGATTCACAACGGTCGGCGAAAGACTGTGACAATCAAGGAACGCCTTAACATGGGTTTTTCTGAACTCCAGAGAAACCATCTTAGCAAACCAACAGCATAGCAGTCATCAATTAGGGTCCGGATTTGGTCGGTGTATGGTACCTATACCTGTACACCTAGTGCACCTATATTTCCGTCATATTCGTGAATTGAAATTAATTCACGTTGAGCGAACTTCTTTCCACGTACAAGTGAAGACCAACTTATCTCTGACTTTAATAGCTAAATAGGAAATATTTTAGGTCATGCCATGTTTACTGAGGGCAGGCCAATCATGTATTCAAGTCAGTACTTGTCCACCTACCTAAAAAACTTGAACAGTCATTACGTTTCTGCTCCACATATTTTGCAGCAGTTTAACCGCAATTAGTGAAATATTTAAAATAAATAAAAATCTGTTATATGCATATATATTTTATTTATTCCTTTATTTAAAATTTTAATTTAGAAAATGTATGCTTGTAGGATTTGGAATGAAGAGCAAAGTTCGTATGCATATGTGTTTTGATCCTACTTAATGTTACAAATTCTCCTGGGTAATCTTCTTTTTTACTAACAGGATTTTTATTTTAGTGTATCAACCAACTCTTCCTCCAACATTACCACGTGGAGTAGGCAGTCCTCAGCAGCATACTGTTGTTCCGCCGTATCCATCGCCACAAGTGAGTGCTTGGCATAGAATTTTTGCTTCGTTCTTATTTACCCCATTTATTTATAATTTTATTGATTTCCTGACGTTTCAAACTAAAGGAACCAAATTTTGTTGCAATATTCTTATACTATATTAGTATAGCGTTCTAAAATTATTCAGATTGAAGAACTGCTATGAAACTTTTTCGGCCAGTATTTTTGCAAAATATTACTTCAATTTTAGGTCAGTGTTGCAGAACAATTTGGACCGGCTCCTACAGGATATACAGTCCAACATCAAGATCCTTATGTATACCCTCCTGCAGTACAGACTTATCCATCAGATCTACCTCATCCATCGGTTACCTATCAATCCTACCCAGGTTATCCACCAACACACGTTGCTCCAGGATTTTCGTATTTCATGCCAAGATCTCCACAGCAAAGTCACTTACAACAAACTTCGCCAAAGATTCCGACAGCGCCACCAGTCGATGTAACCGGCGTTCAACTCTGAACCGCATCTGCGAAGAAACCCAATCTAGAAAAATAAGCAGAGGTACACCGTGAAAACTTCATGCTAAAATACTAAGACTTTATTTTTCACCGATTGTATAGACCAATATGTCGAGTGGTGTCATGCACTCTTGTCCATCTCTTTGTTGTAACTCATCATTTTCTCTGGTCTTTTAAGTCTATCTTTTATTTAAAAGGTTATCTTCCGGAAATTTAAAACAGCCTGATTGAAAACCTGGGAACCTAAAGTCACCTTATGAACTGTTCGCAATTCTCTTTTAGCTAAGTTGATTGCAACAAACTGTTTTATCCATAGGCTGTGATTACAGGAACACTTCTGTGTGTTGTGTGGAAATCAATTATTCACGCTTCTTATCCTACTAACTCATGAATAATGGGTATGACTACTTTACTTTGTTCCCACACTTCCTCATCTCGGATCTTTTTATTCATTACCTGTTGTCATTTCAATCTCCCTCACTTGGCTACTTCAATTCTCAACATTGCCACTGCAGTGTATGTACAAAGGAAATTCAAACCGTTCTGTAAAATTATCATATTCACTTACATCGTATTATTGTTTAAAGTCATTCAATCGCCGTTTTCTTGTACATTGGAACCACTGCTGCCCTTTAAGAGCGTGAACAAATTCCTTTTAAAAGATGACTTCTAGGAAATAAATAAAATCATAAAGAATAAAGCTCTTGGCGTTGATCAATCCTTGAGGGATGCACCATGCATTCGACTTCATTAGGCATCGTTGGAGGTGATTGAATGCACATCTAGCCTTTACAATGACTTACGCCGGCCTGCCGGTGTATCGAGTCAGTGCTGCTATTCTCCCAGAGAAGTCTGATACCAATTTGCCGACCCTGGAGAGATAGAAGGGTTAGTAAGCTTACAGCTTGAGGATTGATCCCATGTGTATTCCGACCACTATGCCACACGCGCCTTACCATTTGATTACCTTGTTCTAAATATTATGACAAGTCCTCAAGTAGTACGTACTCCTCATTATCATCACCACCACATTTCGGCTATCCTTCCGGACGAATTGTTCTAGGCATATAAGTTTACATATATCTTATAATTCAGAATAGCACAACTCATTACGACAAGTTTATCGATAACTGTAACTTTCACTGACAACTCTTCAAACGAAATTAGAATTTTCAAAGTTATTCCAAACAATTGTACCTATTTATAGATTAGTACATGTTGTACGAGGAAAATTTTAACAAGGAATTCTACTGGGAAAATTATTAGTTGTTCTATTACATTCTCTTAAGTACACTTTTAACGACAGTAACGACAATAGTCTTCTAGGTAGAATGAATGGAAAGGATACTTAAGCTAACCTTTTAAGTGACATTAAATACCTTGTGATGGTTAAACCAAACATCCTTGCAAAAAGCAAGTCCTTTTTTTAATCAAACGTAATAAACTAACAAGCTACCATAGTTACAAATGTGCGTTAAAAAGAAAAAGGCAAATAGTATAAAATCCAATACATTATATTATAGTTAGGTGAAAGATCTATTCCTTCAAGGCATCTCAGTCCATCGGTGCCTACACAGAACAAGAAGCCTTGTTGTTAACCTACTTCTGCCTTCTCTCCTACTCCAAGCAGTCGGAATATAGAAAGTGTCACTTCCAATCCGAAGAAACATGCTGCATTTGCTGGGAATGCACGAAGCATTACTGGTGTGAAGCCCTGGTTAAAATTTATCTTGTATAAAGTGTATAAACATTTAAAACGCTCTTAAAGCTCGGTGCTTTCTCTGATAACCTCCTTTCGTTATCAGATAGGTTCATACACTATGAGATAAACAACAAAATTTAGCGTGGTGAAGAAGCTTATCTACTCCACCTCGGTGAACAACTGGACTATAGAATAGTTTCAAGGACCAATCTTCCAGTAGACTAGCAACTATTCTTCCCAGTTTCTATAGATAAAACAAGTGATAAAATATCAAAATGTCTCTCCAAACCTTAAATAAGGCTTTCGGCCCTTCTTCTCGCATCACTTCTCGGAATACGCCGCGTATTCCATCAGGATACTTACCTTCAGGAGCAGTTTGTAATTTTGACTTTAACACATCAGCAGGAATGCAAACTGACCTATAACATTTCCACAAAACTAAAGGATTATGAAATCGTGGGCCTCAGAAAAAGTATTTTCTTAGCCAAAATAAGGATAGAAAAATGCTTAATACCAGTTGGCTATCCCAGCTAAGCCACCAGCAAGTAATGTGGCTCCTGGAGAAAGAGTTCGCTGACCACCTTCACCAGAGAACTTCCTTTTGAGAAATTCGTAAACGGAAAGATACGCAGCACTTGCTGGTATATCTGAAATCAAATATATGCTAAACTAGAGAGCGTAAAAGTTCAACTAGTTGAATAAAAACACTTCACCAGAATAAGACCCCTCAACTAATTCACCTCGAAGAAGTGTAGCACCTGTTCCTCTATAGAGGCTGGAGATTCCACCTTGTCTGTATAGTTTTTTGACAACATCCAACGGTCCATTGTAATGTACTCCTGATGGTGCATGGCCTTCAGCTTGCACCTTAGTCGAATAAGTTCGCATAACTACTTTATAGCAACACTGATAACGTAACCCTCATAATTCTTCGTATTTTTGTTAAGCAAACGCGAGGTGTTATTATTCTTTATTCACGAATAAGCTGACGTTTCGGCGGATTTTTGACATTATGACATGACAATGACATTATGCTTCCATGTGACTTCTGTGCGGTTGGTCTTCACGCGNGATAACGTAACCCTCATAATTCTTCGTATTTTTGTTAAGCAAACGCGAGGTGTTATTATTCTTTATTCACGAATAAGCTGACGTTTCGGCGGATTTCGCCTTCCTCAGAGCCGCTTTCTATGAGGTTTCCACTAAGTATGCCGCGTGAAGACCAACCGCACAGAAGTCACATGGAAGCATAATGTCATTGTCATGTCATAATGTCAAAAATCCGCCGAAACGTCAGCTTATTCGTGAATAAAGAATAATAACACTTTGCGTTTGCTCAACAAAAATACGAAAAATTACTTGATCAATGCTGAGGTTAATAGAAAGTCGGTCATCAGAGTAACCCTCATAGTTCAGATTTATATAACAGCACCAGTCACTGCATTTCCAAGCTGCAGACAATGATTTGACCATTCTTGTTTTCAAATTTCAATTTAGAAAACCCAAACAGCAAGTATTTACCTGGAGAAGACACTTAATACGTTCTCCGGGTACCATAACGACAGTGGTGAACACTCCAGCTAATGCGCCACTGTTAAAATTTTGTATGAATGTCATCTCCTGATCTGAATCAAAATGTGCCACACGTCAAAACACCCTTTCAGAAACAAAGAAAAATAGGCTGAAATATCAAACACACCAGGATGTGTCGTCTGAAGATGCTTGCCTATGGCGCACCCAGCAAAGAACACGGCAAACAACGGACTGACCCCGGCTAGAGGAGCAGCCATACCCTTTGAAAAGTAATAGTAAATGTTGTAAAGCTAACAATTCGCCTGAAAATCATTAAGAACACCAGGAGCAATAGCTCAACAAGGATAAAAAATATCAAAACACTGGCTAGTAACGGTTAATCATGGTAGAAACACGCACATAAACAGCAGTGTCCTCACGAGGGCTTAAATGAAAAAGAACTTCACCTTGTACAAAGCGAAGAAGCCTTCTTTTGCTACGGTTCGTTTCATGCAGTCCAACGTTCCCGTATAAAGTGGAGGTTCTCCAGGTTTGGGTCGAGGCATGGTTTGGATGCGTACCTACAATGATAGCTTTTACTTGCTTACTTGGGTATTTGGATGGCCCGCCTTCACTGCTTGTGCGGTCCCAAGTATAATTCCTATTCCTCCAGAGTGCTGGTAGTTTAGCCACTGTGGTTCTCCGCAGTCTCGAGGTCAGCTAAGAGAAAGTCTGCCCCAGGTCGTCACCACCACACGAACTTACCGCCCTAGTGGATCAGAAGGAGATTTGCCACCATGTGACTAGGTCGATACTAGGACAGTGGTGGATCCTGGTATTGGTTTACTCTTAGCTCGGCTTCCTGATGGAAAAGCCGGACTCCTCAGCTTGGTATACCCAACAGGGGTGGGGGGAGAGGGATGGATTACCCCGCTGTACGCAGTCCGACACCCAGAAACACCTCCCAGTCACGAGGGAGGGAGGTTTTAGTACAATAATTTTAAATTTTAATTTAGGATGGTTAATATGGAAATGGTCCCTAGGAAATGTTAAATACACCCTGATAGCAATACGACGGCCACTCTTGTGTAAGTTTTGAAATCGAAAGTCCTCAAGCATTCGAATATTTTAAACTTGAACAAAGAGAGGTTCTCCTCATACTTAAACGCTCAGGGTTGAGGACAACAGAGAGCAACTCGACTCGTATTGTCTCGCCTTAAATGTTTTTATATCAAAATCCTGTTTTGTACACCGATGACAACCCAGTCCTGTTCAGCCCTGACGTTAGTCGATACGGAATCGAATACCATATTCACGAAACAAAAAGTAATGACTGATTATTAAATCCTCCAAACAAACTCTAACACTCTTAACGTCACAGAGGGAACTTGAACTTAAGAAAGACTTGTTTATAACATAAAACTCCGTACCTTTACCGTGTCGAATGGATGTCCCACAATCACCGTACATGATCCACCAACACCCCCAGCGATGAAATTTAGAAAGACATCAGACATCTCACTAAGGTCAGCACCTAATAAACCCTGTAAGTAAGTTCTTGTCCGAAAATAAGCAAAACGACGAAGAGAACACGGACGTAATACTGAATAGGACCTAGATAAGGAATTTAAGCTATTCAACTACTGTATTACGACGATGAGTCTCAACTACTTGTAAGTTTTGAACGACTATGTAAAGAGTGCGCACTAAATGGACGAAATGAATCTGAAAGTCTATCCTTAAGCCCTGAAGATAACAAGTACAACACTAAGACACATTCACCCTACAAAGGGTTGCCTCAATATACCGAGGTTGACGTACTTTGCTCCCACTACATTCGGTCGATACTCGACGGTGATAAGGCTCGCAACTATATTTTGGGTTATGCAACCTAAAGTTCTCTACTGTAGAACCGTTTACCACTTGGGCAATATTACCTTACAGGCCGATTTAAGGAGAACGAGGATGAACTGGAAGAATCCACAGATCAAGTGCCACAATTTGGTCGACTTTCCACGAATCATCCAATCTCCGAGACCAGCAGCCGTCATGTCTCCTTGGCGCACGGTGTAAAATGGCGCACTTTCCTTTTATCATATCTAGTTCCAAAACTTAACGGGAGCGTGTAAGGCTGTGGTCAGAGGTGCCATGCAATACACATAGAATCGATCACCATGCCCCAGGCCTATCAAGCCCTCTATCCCTGAGTCGGCCAATTGGTACCAAATTTGTCTGGGAGGACAGCTGCACTGGCTCTATACATCGGTAGGCCACCGACTTGTCGTAAGGACCAGATATGCATCCAATCACTTCCAACGACACTTAATGGAGTCGAATGCATGGCGCATACCTCAGGAGTTGATCAACTCCGACACCTTTCTAGGTTTTTATTAGTTTCAAATCCTACTGTCTCAGTTATGAAGAAAAATAGAAACGACACTACGGTATTGTCATTGTTCAGATGTAAATACACCTCTGATCTATAAGACACTCTCCATCGAATAATTCATTCAAAAAAATCAATATCTGAGATGAAAGATAGCTGCTTTATGCACGAAGCCCTAAGAATAAAAGTAAAATAGCCATGAAGCACGAAACATGCTTGTTGTGACATATAATATTAAATGAACTCTTAAGATTCTGGAAATCACAGTAAAGTAAACTATGATCGAAAACCAACAACAATACGATGCAATTTAAGAAAAATAAGGAAGATCGAAGCGAAAAAAAATAACAGTGTATACCCGCATACAACTCTTAAAAAATATCTTTTTTCCTCTTCTGACGGTTGCCCAGCTCTGTCTGAACACGTGCTTGCTTCGCCTGCACCTTCTGGATTGATTGTTCTACATCCGCTAGGCTTACCTTTAGTCGTTCTACAGTACGCTTATCTTGCCGGTTCCGGAAGATACCCTTAACAATAGGATTTTCGGAAGGGCAAGAAACAGAAGAGAAAGCCATAGAAATTTTGAAAACCTATTAGACGCCTGTGCGACGTCATGTCTCTCACCTGCTTATACTTAAACAAGTAAAAGATAAAAGGATGAAGCTCTCGGCGTTGATAAATCCCTGAGGAATGCGCCATGCATTCGACTTCATTAAGCACCGCTGGTGGTGATTGAATGCTTATCTGGCCTTTACATGACTCACGGTGTTTTACCGATGTGTCCAGTCAGTGATGCTATCTTCCCAGACAAGCCTGGTACCAATTTGCCGACTCTGTAGTGATGGAAGGCTTGGTGGGCCATGGGCGCGGTGATCGACTCCACGTCTGTGTTGCACGGCGCTTTCGACCATTGCGCCACACGCGCACTCGAACAAGTATAATCTACAATAGAGAAGTTACGTGGACTTACATCTCGTAACTTCTTCTCCTTACTTCGCAGCTGCTTTAACTCGTATTCAAGATCGATGCCTTTGACACCAAGTGACCTTAACTGATAGAATAGTTAACTTCTTAAGCTGAATACAAAAGTCAGGGCGTTAAAAGAGTACTTCGAACTGCTCTTCGCAAGAACTCTATGCTCCTCAAGCTCGTCGTGTTCCGACTTATCAGGCTGTACTTCAAGCTTTCTATTTATAAAAGTGAAAATATCCACATCTAATGAAGTATGAGCGTGTTTCATCTCTTCGCGTACCCTTGTCTTCACCTACAATAAGACTGTATATTATAATGAAAACATAGAAAAGCAAGGGAAAACCATTACGTTCAAAAAACAGACTTTTTGCATTCCATCTACAACTCGGGTTCGGGAATTCATGCACGCATCGACCGAACTGTCTGTAATTCTAAAACATTACTCACAGTTAAATGGCTTAATAGCTCTTGAAAATCTTACTCTTAGGACATATTTTGGCTTGAATAGCATGCACAATACCGTCACTGTTTTTGCCGAGTCCCTAAAATTTCAAATAACCTAAAATACTAAGAAAACCACGATAGACCAAATTTAAGACACTCCGGCCGAAATAGAAGAAATTTTATGAAAGCTGCCTGTCCTACCTCTCCAATCTTGTAACCCATTTTCTGCATGAGCTTTAAGCCGAACCCGCCACCGTGCCAGTTCCCCATATCGCCAACTGTTACGTTCCCACACCGATCTCCTTTTTGCTCTTTCCATGAGTCATTTTTCTCTTCAGTATTATACAGATATTCATTATTCGAACATGGCGCGTGGACATTATCATCTGTCATATCTATAACTTAAAAAATATTAATTAGAAAACGACAGAATGCGATGAAAAAAGTAGGTGGACCTTCAAGTTCTCCATCCAGTGGGACAATCTGATCCAACGTTGACGAGACTTCACCGTTGCTTTTCAAAATCCTCACAGCAACTTCACCATTATCAATGGCTATCAACCGTCCAACCTCCCACAATGTAGACGGCGATCCAACCGCAACCAAAACCAGACTTCCGACAGTCAATGAACTCAAAATGAACAGCCAATTTTATAAAACAATATTGAAAATTATACCATATCTAGCTACCGTAATAGACAACAGAATAACAGTATGAAAAATCCGGTTTTGAAAGAAAAAGATCGTAAAGCGATACGCGAGATCCTCCAAAACACAAGATGTTTACGACAATAGCATATTAAGTTCAGTGTTTGGATCTCTCACTTTTTTTATAAGATCGAATAACACCTTATTATGTCACTTACAACCCGATTTTGAAGAATTATAAAGAGTCCCTTCGTCAACAAGAGCTGAAAATCCCACAAAACACCTAAGACGTTACAGTGAATGTTTTTCCTAAGAAAATTTTAGAATGATGTGAGAGAAGAATGAATTATAGCATAGATCGGTACATGACACTCCCAAAATCTCCGGAGAAAATATGCGGGTTATATTTTTAAATATATAGGTATATAAATAGGCTAAAAAATATGTGGTGGTAGTGGTGAATAGATTAGTCCCCGAAAAGGGTAATAGCGTGTTCGACTCAACGCAGACACCTGCGGTTCGGAGTTTTCCAAATATCTCTGCATCATTAAGCAGGTTAGCAATTAACAATAAGTAAAATTGGTACTCACTCGAAATCTGGTTCCTTATATTCAGTTAAGTTCGATATTGACAAAATCTCGCCATGGCTAAATTTGCATTTCTCATCAAAACGACACGTCCCAGCAAGAAAATGAGAACATGGTCGCATACTGTTCAGCATTGGATGGCTATATAAAACTCGAACCTGAATGAACAAGATATTGTAGAAATATTTCTACTACACGGACACAATTTTACAAACATATTTACAACTTTTTCCGGCTTTAAGTTCTTAATTTTACAAAGCAACATAAAAATAGACCCGAACATAATAAATAAGATAATCCCTCTCATCGCTTTACCGCCTCAACGTGGCCGGGATGTGTTCATGGGTGTCGAGCTGCGATGTACAGTGGGGGAGGAGTTTATCCCCCGGCAGGACCTGCGAAGTTGAGAAAGAGTTCGCCGTTTCCATCACGAAGTCCAAATAAAAGTAATCCAGTATCAGGATCCACCATCGTCCTGGTATCAAACTAGTCGAATGGTGGTGAATCTCCCTCTGATCCACAAAGAGGGCGACTGCCTGTGGTGGTGACGACCTGGGGCAGACTTTGGCCTGGCTGACCTCAGAACAACATTGAACCAAGATAACTAAACCAGCAAAACTCCGAAAAAGTGGACATTATGTTGAGGCTCGCATGACCTGTCAGGACGAGCCATCCAAGTGTCCAAGGAAGTAGATAAAATAAGCGACAACATAAAAATTATTCATACTCGTAAATCTGCATTCAAAGAAGCACTGTCCATTTGTAGAACTTCCAAAATGATTGCTGTATGATGAGAAACTGGAAGGTTAACGCCAGGATAAGGTGCCATACAACGCATTCCAATGAAATCATCTAAAATAAGTCGAAAATAACCTTTATTAGTACCTTTATAAAGTTCTTAAGAACAATTCATAGTAAAAAGAACCAAAACAAACCGAGATAATCGGCCAAATTGTCATCATTTGATGAGTTAGGAATTGAAATTTCTTGACTATCGTCACTTTTCTTCATAAATTCTTCTTCTGCCTGCAGAATATCAAAAGAATAACAAGTTGAACTTCTCACAGCGTTTCGTTTCCTATGTAAAGCTAGGAAAACAGGACCAAAAAAGTCCCTTATTAGCTGTGGGGTCTACAGTGCCGTTACAAAGACATTCTAACACTTTTCTAAAAGTAATCTGACGCGAAGAAATCGAATATAATCACCTGCTCATTCAACAGCTGAACAAGTTCAAGAAGGTCTGCGCGCATTTCAAGAAGTGTAGCATGTTCCTCACCTCCTTGGTTCTTTGCTAACTGCTTATCAATCGATGCGATCTAAAGACAATAAAACTTGGTCCCAGGTTACAATCAAGTCACCTAATAGAAATTTGAAAACGGTCCTTATTTCTCCATGTATTCTTCTTTTGATAAGCTTACACGAGGTTAATAAACAAAAAGATTGTTATTGAAATAGTTTTTCCCCTTGCTAGCTGATAATGATACCGACCTTTGCCCGAAAAGAAACAAGTTGTTATCACCTCACAATCACTACCATCAACAGCCAGCAACCTGTATGAAAGTTCTAGAGATGCTTCATTGAGGAAGATTCGACGCTATACGAAGATAAAAACGTTACATCGAGAAGACGAACAACTGTGGACCATCGACTCGGACCATCGGCTCTGATGAAAACGAAGATGTACGAAACGTCAGCCGAATAAGCTTTACTATCAACCTCGTGTAAGCTCATCAAGGAAAGTATGCGAATGTACGATTAGTTACACCGAAGTTAAAGGAAAGTTGGTTTTCAAATCTTGTTTCTCCAATTATTATATGCGGAGCCCAAATTTCGAGCTGTTTCCAAACCAAAAAAAAGTTATTTTATGTGATCACATGGTTGTTAGTTGCTGGATATGCTCCTTATCCTTATCCTAACAGAGTCATTCGAACAAACGACTATACGAACCTGATCAATATAGGATTGTGCTTCATTTGAGATCATAATGAAACCAGAGGATTTCGATACCAATGGTCTGCAATCCTAACTAGTTTCAAAACTTCCAAAGCCGAATCATCTTCTGGTTGAGGTAAATCCTTGTAGTTGAACAGATTGGAAACAATTTGGACTTTTGGAAAATTTATTTTACGTGGTGCTTGAAACACTACTGAGTAATCAATAGCGTGAAATATGTACAATAAAAAATCAACATTCATGTAGAAAGAATACATTCTTCCTACTGAAGTGCTCACTACTCGACCAACACTAAACTCCAGCATAACCTCTACAATGAATCACAACGAATCACAGCTACTTCTAACAACGACAATGTGTACAGAGAAAGGAAGTACTGCAGCAGTACCTAGTTACCTATTCGAGTAATAATAAAGTAAACTCTGAGAATTAGAATATTGATTTTTAGAAATCTACGTAAAAGCAGATATTAAACGAATCTTCAGAGCACAGGAGACAATTTCATTTCACCAAAAACTAATACAATTTTGCTAAATAGGCTTTAATCAAGTATTTTCGTTGTGCTATGTGGAAATATGATGAAGAATTTTGTGACATTTTCAATGTTATTATCTGGTATTAAAGACTTAAATCATATATGAGATCTGCGATAGAAACATGAGTGGGGTCATCTTTAGGGTTTCAGTAATCCTGAATGTATCAATTCATATTTTAATGAATTAAACACTGCGATTTGATCTTCTGGCTGTAGCCATAAAATTTGTGTTACTAACTTCGCTGGATTCGGCACCCTAAACAGTTGTATGAATAATTTGGTCAGAAAGAGAAGTGACAAGTTCTGGAAAGATGTCCGTTACCAACCTGATAAATGTGTGAATGTACACACTGACAAAAGTGCCCATTAAAAGTTGACAATCAAAGCGATCCATTAGACCTCCATGACCAGGAATGACATCTCCAAAGTCCTGTATGAGTACAAAAAAAGTGAAAAAAAGAAATATGCGATAAACTATGAAATAACAGAGAAAGAAATCAAAAAAGTTAATCACTTACTGATGTTGGAAATGTTTACAAAGAAAGATTCGTACCTTGATTTTGAACGCTCTTTTGAATCCGCTTGCGAAAAATCCTCCAAATGGCCCTAGTAGACTAGCGAAGAGCGCCATTACAATAGAGTGACCAACGAATGGGACTATGTACACGTGTGGATCACGCCTAAAAGAAAGTAGTGAAGTTCAAAATACTGTCAAAAAACTTTACGTTAAGCTCTAACTATTCCACTATAAATGGAAAAATACAATATTAGACTGTGGTGGAGAACGAACACACTATTATCCCTTTCGGGTGCTGACGCGTTCACCAGCACACCATGCGAGTTCGACACGAAGCAATATTTTGTTGTGTTTTTAAAAAAAGTCGACCAATTGATATAAATAAGAGTCATTTACTTTAGAATTTTGAACATCCACGACAATGGCCGAGGCAGCTCATATTGTCGAAGTTGGAAAGACGATGGAATAGTGCAGTTTGTGTTGTCAATATAGTAGTCTTCAACTGGACAAACAAAAGACGGGCGATTGTAGAGGAAGTACGAAAGCTAAAGTATAACTATCAATACAAAGAAATCATTTGTTAAATAAAGCTAAAACTAGGCGCATCAGTCTCCCTTCACTTACCAATAGCAAGAAATTAGCCGTATGGAAATAGCATAACTGATGCAATACGATGGATGATATTACACTGACTGCATTCATATGTATTTACCTCGGTATTAAGATCACAAATTTTTAAAACCTGCCATCATCTACTCAAAAAAGGCGAGCCTGCCAGAATGATCATTAGTCTAGATAATAGTACGAGCCAGTGTTGCTATCTTCCCAGACAAGTTTGGTAGCTATCTGCCGACTCCGGAGAGATTGAAAGCTTGGTGAGCCTTAAGCGAGGGGATCGATCCTATTATAGGGCACCTCGGACCACTGCACTACACGCACCCATTAGTCTCGACATCAATATAAACCTATATATGAAGTAAAATAGAAGCTGCATATAAAAAACATCAAAAGCAATGACTAGGTGTTGACCTTATACTAATTCAATTATAACAACTCCCCGCCCTGAAAGTGATTGGGCGATCAAAAACATACCAGCACTCCGAAAACAACAGTGCTCACAGCTCCACCAATAAATCCTTCCCACGTTTTCTTCGGTGACAATTTGATCAAAGGAGTTCGACCAAAAAAGAAGCCAAACATGTACGACATGACATCGCAACAAATAATCATTGCAACCGGTACGAGAAACCTTAACGCAAGCTGTTATGACATAAAGAATATATACTTGATACTTGGATGGCCCGCCCTCACTGGTTGTGCGGGCGTAATTTCTACTTTTTCGAGTTTTGCTGGTTAAGCCATTATGGTTTCTTGGAGTCCCGAGGTCAGCCTGGCCAAAGTCTGCTCCAGGTCTTCATCATCACGGGCAGTCGCAGCTCTTGTGGATCAGAAGGAGATTTACCACCATGCGACTTTGATACAAGGACGGTAGTGGATCCTGGCATTGATTTACTCTTAGCTGTGCTTCCTGATGGAAACACCGGACTCCTCCTCAGTTTGGCGAGTCGTGCCGTAGGGATGAATCTCACCGTTGTACATCGCAACCCGATCTTGGAACACCTCCTAGTCACAATGAAACGGTAAACCATTAGGAGGTGCAACGACATAAAGGATATGTAACTATTTCAAATTAAGCTGCGAATGAAGTGAAGAAAAAACATCAATGGACCTACCATATGGTTCCTTGGAATATATTTTGGATAATGAAAAAAGACTGGCATACGATCAGTAAGAGCGTTATGTGCGTCCAAGCAAACTGGAAAGCAAAACATCACGCAAAACATGTCTGGTGACCTAATAATTTTACCAAATAATAAAACAATTCGGAAGACTTACCAAAGAAAATTGCCGCATGTAATATCCTTTCTTTAGAGAAAGCACAAACCAAACAAATCCGACGCAATACAAAGCGAAACTAATTAAACGATGATAGGTGATTAGAAAATGCAAGAAGTTCTGAAATTTTTTGCTTGTCATAGATCTTCTAACGCGGGTGTACAAACTACGGAAGGTAACCTACGTCCTTCCGAAGTAAAATGGCCCAGTAATCGATGAGACTTTCGCCAAATATGAAGTAGTTACTAGTAACGAGGAAATACCTAGACGGAAATAACAGAATATCAAGAGCAATACAGAGAAAGGGTAAATTTACTTGTTATTTAAGAATTAAAAAGAACGATAAAGCTCTCGGCGTAGATCAATCCCTGAGGGATGCGTCATGCATTCGACTTCATTAACCATCGTTGGAGGTGACTGAATGCATAACTAGCTTTTACAATTGACTCGCGGTGATCTACCGATGTATCGAACCAGCTCTGCTTTCCTCGCAGACAAGTCTGATACCAATTTGCCGACCTCAGAGGATGGAAGGCTTGGTGGGCCTTGGGAGCGCGGATCGATCCCGTGTGTATTGTAGGGTACCTCTGACCACTGCGCTTTATCCACCTCCACTACTGTATGCTACTTATGTATTAAAGAAAAGAAACAACTTAAAAATATTTACTGTACCGTTCTTAGCAGATTAGTTTAAAAGATAAAAACGATACTAAGGTAACTATAGCAACAAATGCCTAAAGCAGCTGAGAAATATATATTCATTAATTTATAAAAACGGAAAATAATAGGTACCATGACAAGACACGGAACCAAGGAAAATCGTACATTCGGTAGACAGCCAACCCAATATTTATGATTTCATGAAAACACTTGAACTGGATAGCAAAGACCTAAACCACAAAAAGGACATAATTCAAGTCGTATAGATGTTCTTAAGAAACTCACAAGTGCCATTAACCAAGTCGGGCCTCTGCTCACTATGAAGCAGAACATCGAAACCATGATTATCGTAAACACTCCGCGAACGACCCAATTTCTCCATCTGAAAAGTGACTTTATTTATATGATCTTATAAACTGATCTTCTTTAGCTGATGCGAGGTTGGTATTGGTCTTTGTTGTCGCTGTCGTTGTTGTTGATGTTGTTGGTCGATGGATGACGTTTCGGCGATTTTGCTTTCCTCACAGCCTGGACGTATTTCATATAAGAATACTTTAATTATTCGGTGGAAAATGCTAAAGTATTAATGAAGTTCAAACTTTTAAAAATAGGTGCCATATTAAACAGAAAGGATACTCACCGTGCTGCTACGAGAGGGACTGCTCGCATGTTGTTCACGTGGGACGGCGAGCGAGACCCATCCAGAGATCAAAAATCATTTTGAAATAAGGCGCCAGGTCACGTGTGATAGTAAGGCATTCGTCTTTCCGGTTCATCTTTGGATTTTTGAAATTTATCCAAAACGCCTCAACAGTTTTGCGCGTTGATGCTATATAACAAAATGGGATCGTAAGCCAATCTCATCCTTCACACATGAAAAGCACTTATCGAAAACATATACCGAACGCCTGAAAATGTGTGCACAGGAGAAGAGGAAAGGAAGGAATCGCTAAACCTGGCACGAAAAATAGCCATTTCCAATGGCTACGGAGTGGAGAAGCCACTCGGGTTAGCCAAAAATGTAGGGTAGTTTCCCAAAGTAATGTTTCGGACGTAAGTAAGATCTTTTTTGAGGGACCCTTCATATCAGATGAAATAAGTTGCGTCATGAAAAGCTGCTTAAGAAAAGTGGTTTTGAAAATTATATGGCCATTATTGACCTCCCACCCAAAACCCTACGCTGTCCTTAGTTCGCTGCCGTCTCTATGATCGTTTCTGCAGCTCAGAAAACTGTATGATCTGTCCTAACGGAAGAGATTGGGATTGCATGAGTTCAGGTGCAATATACTTGACCTTGTGTAAGACATGCAGTGAGGAATATATTGGGGAAACGGGTAGACCACTTTGTGACCGCATAAGAGAACACCTAGATGGGAAAGTAAAAATTCGTCAAAACACTCCTCTAGGTACCCATAGGGCACAGAAGTGCAACGGCGATGATTGTGAAGTGGCTGCGCGGATCCTTGCGCAGGAATCGAAAGCATCAACGCGCAAAACTGTTGAGGCGTTTTGGATAAATTTCAAAAATCCAAAGATGAACCGGAAAGACGAATGCCTTACTATCACACGTGACCTGGCGCCTTATTTCAAAATCATTTTTGATCTCTGGATGGGTCTCGCTCGCCGTCCCACGTGAACAACATGCGAGCAGTCCCTCTCGTAGCAGCACGGTGAGTATCCTTTCTGTTTAATATGGCACCTATTTTTAAAAGTTTGAACTTCATTAATACTTTAGCATTTTCCACCGAATAATTAAAGTATTCTTATATGAAATACGTCCAGGCTGTGAGGAAACCAAAATCGCCGAAACGTCATCCATCGACCAACAACATCAACAACAACGACAGCGACAACGAAGACCAATACCAACCTCGCATCAGTTAAAGAAGATCAGTTTATAAGATCATATAAATATATGAACTCTCTATGGCGAGGTTTATAGAAAGTAGGTCTTTTGAGTTGAAAAGTGACTTTTACCAAATCGTCAGTAGAAAAGCGAAAAGCAAGCAACCTCGAAAGGATACCTTGCCGGAAGAGTGTCCAGTACTGAGTCAAGTAATTCACCCATACTTCCAGTGTCTTGTGGGATAAGCTTTGTCAATTTTGATATTCTGAAAGAGAATCATCTTGAGTTGAAAACAACTATGGCGATGACAACAACAACAACAACTGAAATTCCAAGTAGGAAGCAAGCACAAGCACTCTAAGAACACGGAGTGAGAAGAATACATATTATATAAACTATCACCACCACCACAATATAACCTGAACACTAACGAGTTACGCTGAGATGATTGCTTTGCAGCTGCATCGCTGAAAAAGGTTCTGAAGTAAACCAGATAAGACAACATCTTGCTTAGAAGACGGTAAATTATATGTAATGAGATCGAATAAGACTAGAACCATTCACCGTAACCATTTTTTATCTTATCCTTAAAAAAGCTACTAAAATTCACGCCATTTTCTCTCCAATGCCATTTAAAACTTCTTCTTTTTGTAGTGGTATAAGTCGAAAATAAGCAAAACAGAGATGAGGCTCACCATCGGCGTTACGTAACACTGAGAATGACAAAAGATAAACTTAACACGTTGAATTGAACGGAATTCAAAAATGACCTCTCTTCATCGTGGACAACAGCATCCATATCACTTTCGTCACTTGTCGGTCGTACATCTTCTGAGTGGCCATAATGTCGACGATGACGAATGAATTCGTCGCCAGATGCTTCAGCCATTTCCTCAATTAAAGCAGGCATTAAAGGTGAATTAGAATATTACGAAGGAAAAACAATATGATCAAACGGAAGTACCAAAATCAAGTCAGCATCTCTTGACAGGCTCAGTAAAGTGAAATCAAATTATACAGGCCGATCTACTCCCTACTCTCCAAATGTTGACGACACGCAAGCCTTCCTTGTTAACAAAAATCTTTTTTTAGCAGAGACAGCTTAGTGCCTTCCTTATCTGTGATACTCTCCCCATATCTATACCTTCCTCATCAGCAACACCCGCTGCTGATTGAGAACAATCTCGCCTGGAAAGGTTTCGCATTCTATTAAACTCGCCACTAGGAACATTGTGTTAGGAAAGTAATCGAATGAAAACAAAAGTGTGGAAAAAATTATGCAGTACTCATAATGTATAACCCTTTTTATCTACCTCCCCTTATGCTGCACGGCAGAATTTCATGTGAAATACAACAATGACGCTGAGATGTTTGCAAAACTTGGACACCAGGATAGATCGAATATGCGATTACCGCTCCATGCGGCCCAGTTGTTATGCACTGTGCCACTGAGGACCTTGCTTTGCGCTTCTCTCAGTCAGTCAGTTTTTTCAGCCTAACGGTGCTATCAGCAACCACACATCAAGGGGAAAGGGTAACCGTAACCGTGGGTTCAACCTGGCCTGGGTCCCAGTTTTGCAAATGTTTCAGCATCACTATGTGCTAGAAAAAGGACTGCACAGACGATGAAGTGATACCATACTAGCTTGGCCAACGACCAATCAGATTTTGCTTTGCAAATGAGTGGTAATCAACTCACATCGGACTCTAAGTGTTAACAGTCTGTTAGCACCACTACTAAAACGCTTATTGGCACGTCTCAAAGAAATAGTCAATGAATACGACCACAATGAAACTGAGGTATTTGCCAAGCACCGGACAGCAAGTGTCTGCGGTGGGGAATGAACGCGCTTTTACCCTTTCCGGGGGCTAACGCGTTCACCAACACACCACGCAGGTCCGTCGTTTCGCCTTTATCTCAGTTTTTTACATAGAAGACAATGGATGTGCGATCGAATGAAATGAAACAAAGAAAACGTCATATTGGTTTACGGTAATCTTCATTAGAAGTGAAACACTTTGGAAGTTTCAGTATGAGGCAATATGAAAAGTCGTCTAAGATAAGGAGAAACTCATAAGCGCTCAGTAAACAATCCCTTTCACCTTATTCTTTAGATGAAGAAAAAAGAGACAATAACAGCCCAATAAGAAACGTTCACGTAGTGCTTAGACGAAGGAAGCATTTGAAAACATCGAAAGTACAGCTTACTGAGAACTAATATCAGCAGAAATATGGATTACTCCGACCTCAATCAACGAGGGTTCTCAGCCAGCTCTAGAGTTTTGCAAAACCATAGCAGAAATGTCCTACTACCTGGAAAAGAAAGAAAGAAATATGTTTAAAAGAAGTTCTTCTAGTGGAATGCCGAACACAAATCCTTTTGGTACATCGCTGAATGACGTAGTGATGCGTGTAATGCAGTGGTCGGAGGCGCTCTGCAATACACCCATGGGACCGATCCCCGTACCCCATGCCCGCCAAGCCCTCCTTCCCTCCAAGATCGGCAGATTGGTACCAGACTTGTATGGGAGCATAGCAGCACTGGTTCGATACATCGGTAGGCCACCGCGAGACATTGTGAATGCCAGATATGTACTTAATCACCTCCGACGATGCTTTATGAAGTCGAATGCATGGCGCATTCCTTTAAGATTGAGCAACTCCGAGAGCTTTGTCCTCTTTTAATCTTTGTATTACTGATTCAAATCAATAGGCGAGAAAAGAATGGGGTCGAATAGGAGAAAATCGATTGTTTTAAAGAATGCTGTCCGGAAAATGACTTACTGTGAAATCTGTACTTCTACAAAATGACTAACCTCTGCTGCTCTCTAACTCGAATTCATAATACTCTCTCATAGAACTTTATACTCTCCAAATCAATACAAGACCAATGTTGAAATAAGCTATGAAGTTAATAAGTGAGAATCCATTAAAAATTAGTAACGAAAAGGCTGATATTTTACGTCCGAAGACGGCGCTAGTCGATTATCGAAAGACGATGTGAAGAAATCACGAACCACTAACCCCAAATCTTCTCTCAAGTAGAATATTTATGGCAATCATTGAACATACAAACAAAATCATAACCCTTCCTTTCGGTAAGCGTATCAAACGGAAACGAAGCTTTTGGCTGCCACAAATGGAGCAGACGAGCCGAACACACTAATGAATCGCTGTGCAGGAGAGGCACCGCCTTTGGGAACACGCTAATCCACATTGGCATTGACAGGCAATGTCCACATCTGGCGGCATAAAGATGGAAACGTCATTGCCTCGACTTCTGATTTCCTAGAATACGCAGCACATTTGACAAGACAACCAAAATACAGTTAGATTAGGCATGAAGGAAAATGTATTCTTTCGTTGACAGGCTAACAAGAGGTTGACAAAGAACTTTATTCGGCTAACTATTCGACGTCTTCTTCTTCCTCAGAGCCGATGATTCACGTAGATGGTGCATAGTTCTTCGTCTTCTCAATGTGGAGTCCTTATCATCATATCGAGTCAAATTTTCTTCAGTACAGCATCGCTCGAACGATCTTCTATATAGGACTGGTGTTGTTGACAGTGACTGTCCGGTGATAATAACTGGTTTTTCTGGGAAATCCATCTTGCAGCAGTCGGTATCATTGTAAGCTAGCACACAGCTACCGAGGTTAAAGGAAACTCGGTTTGTGAGATATTGTTAGGTTATGTACTAGTTAACATCGATACCGACTGATGCAGGATGGCTTGTCCGAAGAAAACAAGTGATTATTACCTTCTTTGATTATTAAGCTAATACTAGGTTGATAAAGATGTTCATTTCACTAACGATTCGACGTCTTCTTAGTCCTCAAAGTAGATGATTTGAGTCAATGGTTCACAGTCGTTCGTCTTCTCCATGTGGCGTCTTCGTAGTCGTATCGTACGTGGATCAGATTTGCCACCATGCGACTATGATACCAAGACGGTGGCGGATCCTTGTACTGGTTTACTTTTAGCTAGGCTTCTTGATGGAAACGCCGGACTCCTTCTTAGTTTGGGAGACACTGCCGGGGAACGAATCCCCCCGCTGTACATCGCAGTCCGATACCCAGGAACACCTCTCAGCCACGATGAGGCGGTAAACCTTTGAGAGGTATCTAC